GTAGCTACATAAAATTTAGAGGGACAAAAAATCAGTTCTCTTTCATCTATTCATCCATCCACCCACTTGACTGTTTTCAATTACTTACTTCCTTGGTTAATTCAATTCAATTGTCTCTCTCTCTCTCTCTCTCTCTCTCTCTCTCTATATATATATATATATATATATATGAAATGTTTGAATAAATTTATCTGGGTTGGAAACAAAACTGGTTAATACTGGATAATGTTTTACAAGGTAATAAACCATAACCTTTGGGATCATCTCTTCCACTAAAGAAATAATTTGCATCTTTTTTGTTTGTTTGTTTGTTTGTTTGTTTGTTTTTTGTGGGACCTCACCAGCGTCCAGGGAAGGAACCTGTGCTGCAGACGCTGCAGGCAGCCTAGCAGCCCAGCGCTCAACCGCTGCGCCACCAGGGGAGGCCCTAATTTGCATCTTTATTGGATATAAACCTCTGTCTTCACAGAACCTGAGTCCCTAATTAACAGTAAATAAAAATGTCAGAAAATTCTAACTTCTCCTAGAAAGTGAAATAATTCTTGAGACAATTTTTTTTAAAGATTTTTATTGTTTATTTTTATGTAGAAGAACTTGGGTATGGGCCAGAGTTGCAGGAGGGTGAGCGAATTCACCAGAGACAGAGAGGGGTGCAGAGCAGGCGGATCAACTGAAATACACTGCTGAGGGGAGCAGTGGGCGAGACAGGAGAGGTCTGCTGTGACAGTGGGTTCGCTCTCTTGCTGGGGATTGAACTTGTGCTGCAGATATCTTCAAAGCGCTGAGACTTAACCACTTGTGTCACCAGGGAGGCCTTAATTCTTGAGACAATTGTTAGACAATGATTAAGTGTGAAGCATTGAAAGAGGATGTTGGTATCTTCTTGACCTTATTTCTGTGTTTTGGATAATTTTACTTAAGAAGTGTGAACAGGTAACTTTAATTCTAACTTGTATATATCTCCTCTGATGTTTTAACTTTAGGATAGTGCAGCAATGTGAATATGGGGTCCAGAACATACTACCCTCAAATTTGGTAACTTGACATATGAATATCTTTTATTTATTTATTTATTTAAAAAATTTATTTATTTATACAAGCACTGGGTACAGTCAGAAGCGCGGGAGGGTGAGAGAATTCACCAGAGCAGAGGGGAGAGCAGAGCAGGCACACAGATGAAGTACACTGCTGAGGGGAGCAGCGGGTGGCAGGAGTGTCTGTGCGCCATGTGGGACCCTCGCCCGGTGGCCGGGGATTGAACCGGCGCTGCAGAGGCTGCGGGCAGCTTCGCAACCCAGTGCTCAACCCTGTGCCACCAGGGAGGCCCATATTGAATATCTTAATCTGAAGGAACTTGAGAAAATGGCAAAAAAGGGTGGTCAGTCTGACTCCATACTACCCCTTATACTTCTTCCAGAAACAGGTCATAAAACTCCCACTTGAAATGTACCCTCCCATACCAGTAGAAAGATCTCATTGTCAGAGATAGGGATTTGGGGCTGAGGGATCTGTACAAACAAACCTTGTTAAATGAACCTTTATTTCCTACTTGCTTTTTCACCATTGACTACGCCCAGTCCAAACCCTCCAAATCCTCTGTCTTTTTTTTTTTTTAATTGTTCTTCATTTCCTTTCACTCTCTTGCCCCCCATCCATTTCCTACCTCTAAAGAGTGTACAACCTAGGGCCTCCTTGGTGGCGCAAGGGGTTAAACACAGCACTGTGAAGCTATCCAAAGCCTCTGCAGTATGAGTTCGAGCCCTGGCCAGCCAGGGAGCAACCCACATGGCACAGCAGACTTCTCCAGACTTGCCTGCTGCCCCCCTCAGCAGTGTATTTCAGTCAATCTGCCTGTTCTGTTATCCACTCTGTCTCTGGTGTATGCTCTAAACCCCCCTCCACCCCCCCCCCCACCACACTGTGGCCTGAACTCCAGTTCTTGTATGCATAAATAAATAAATCTTTTAAGAAAAATGGTACAACCTAGAAGAGACATAAAAAAGTAATTGTAAAGAATTTTCCTTATCTGGGGATTTGTTATCTGATCTCTCAAGCTATGAGACTGTAGGAAAGTGAAATCATCATAATACAAAAATATTCACTAGTGAGTTTTTTTATTGTTCTTCATTTCCTTTCACTCTCTTGCCCCTATCCATTTCACTCGTCACATCTTCTTTGTACAGGTCTGCTAAGACAAAGCTTCCCACACAGTGTGCTGGAGAAATTGAACCCTTCAGCCTTCAGGTTGGTGGCCAGGTTGATGACAGCCCCTAACAGGGGTCAGAGGGTGAGAGCAGCCTTTTCAGAGGATTGAAAATGTCCTCAGACTCATTAACTACTTAAAAAAATGTAATATGGTTTTTTTGCTATTTCACACTGGGAATATTAGGATCTTATTTGTTTCTGGTAAAAGACATTTTGGATACCTTTGAAATTAGAAATGCTTAATATGAATAATAGAACCACTTTTTTTTTTTTAAAAAAAGACTTATTTATTTATTTATACAGGCACTGGGTACAGTCAGAAGCACAGGAGGGTGAGATAATTCACCAGAGCCAGAGCGGAGAACAGAACAGGCAGACTGACGAAGTACACTGCTGAGGGGAGCAGCGGGCGGCAGGAGAGGTCTGCGCGCCATGTGGGACCCTCACCTGGCGGCCTGGGATCGAACCGGCGCTGTAGAGGCTGTGGGCAGCTTCGCAACCCAGCACTCAACTGCTGCGCCACCAGGGAGGCCCGATAGAACCACTTTTAATTAAGACAGTGCATTCAACATTTTTCCTTCAAGATATACATATTTTCATTAGCAATATATGACTTAGTAGAATAAAATAATTGTACAGTATAGGCTCTAAAGATCAGAATCCTTATTTCAGTATCAAAAATAATATTCTAGTCACAAGCCAATGTTTTACTATTAGTATTGGTCTGAGAGAATAAAATTCAACCTCGTAGTGTTTGTGCTTGTGTGAGTGTGTGTGTTTTCCGTGTTTGTACATTAGGCCCCTTCAGCTCTTAATAGCTAATTCTCTATGCACCTAACACCCTATATTGTCTCACTTAACATTCACTTATAAGATAGGCACTATTATTACCTTCCTTTTCATTTTCCAGAAGAGGACACTGATGCTCAGAGAGGGTAAGCAACTTGGCCAAGGCCTCACAATGGCAGAGCTGGGATTGTATTCCAGGTTGACTTCTAGAATACACTGGTTCCCAGTTACTTGATAGTTGCTCTTAAAATATCCACATAAAATTAGGTTTTGGTGTCCTTGTGCATTTGCATGACTGAGGAAATCTGAGGTAAAGAATCCTGTTAATAGGAGAGAAGAATGTGGGTAGAAGAGGTGAGACAAGGAATGCCAAACCATCAAACCATTATTTAATCATCAAATATTTATTTAGAAACATTTGTTAGGCAGTGTGTTGGCTAACCAAATCATAGCCCCTTCAGGAACTCATTATTTATTAGGAGACACATACAAAAAGTAAATCATACTATAGTCAGACAAGAGCAATAACAGAGCAGTCCATGAGTCCATGTCCATGAGCAATAAAAGAGCAGTGCTCAGTTCTTCCTTAGGGGGAGTTCAGGGCAGGTTTCACAAGGGAGGGAATTGAACTCTGTCTTGAGTGATAAACAATCAGATGTAGGTTTGTGTACCTGGCAGACGTGACAGCTCGGTGCAAAGTGAAACCGTGTGACATTAGGAGTCTGATATCCCGGTGTCGGTAGAGCTGGTTGCCTCTGAAAGTTCTGAGGAAGAATCTATTCCATCCCTCTCTCGAAGCTTCTGGAGTTTCCTTAGCTTTAGACACATCATTCACTATCTGCCTTTGTCTTCACATGGTCTTCTCCACCATATTTGTGCCTGTGTCTCTTACCTTCTTTTTATACAGACACCAACCATATTTGAATCTAGGACTCAGCCTATAATATGAGCTCGTATTCATGTGATTATACCTACAAAGATCTTATTTATAAATAAAGTCACATTCACAAGTACCAGGGGTTAGGACTTGAATACAATTCAATCCATAACAGTTACCTTGTCATTTGATTAGGCCATTAGGGAGCAGGGACAGAGGATCAGAGGAAGGGAAGAAAATAAGGTTAGGTAATTTATTACCCCAATTCTGTTTTTTAGCCTCACCATGTACTACTTTATTCTGTAGGCTGAAGATCATAGCTCTTGAGAGGTGGCCTTCTCCAGTGTCTTTCTCTCTCTCCTCTCATAATTGCATTCTTCCCTGGCCTCATTAGGTGTAGAGATATTAAAAGTACATGTAAGTTTATTTATTTTTACTAGTTTGGGAGTATTTCATTATCCCTATGATTTCTCTATACTCTGCCTCAAACTTTTGTGTGTTTTTTTAAAGATTAACTTATTTATGCATACAAGAACTTGTGTACAGGCCAGAGGTGTGGTGGGTGAGTGAATTCACCAGAGACAGAGTGGGGAAGAGAACAGGCAGACTGACTGAAATACACTAATGACGGGGAGCAGTGGGTGAGACAGGAGAGGTCTGCTGCACCATGTGGGTAGCTCCCCGGCCGGCCAGGGATCGAACTTGTGCTGCAGAGGCTGCAGACAGTGTCATAGGTTGCATCTTAACCCCTTGCTCCACCAGGGACACCCTACCCCAACCTTTTGATATAATCTCTATATATTAAAATTTTCACAAATGAATCTAGGTTGAGTACATTATCAGACATGGATCTTGACAAAAATAATGATAATATTTTTATTTTAGGATAATTGCTTAGGTAACAGAGTAGAATATGGATTAGAAAGGAAGACAAGAAAGAAGGGTACTGAGACCGGAGGAGATGGTACAATAATTCAGATAAGAAATGATTGGACCTGAACTTGAATGATGGTAGCTATGATTGGACCTGAACTAATGATAGCAGTTATGATGAGAGGAGAGGAGGGATGCCCAAGATATTTGTAGATAGAATAAATATGACTTGGAGCAGTCCTCTTAACAATCTAATTCATCTCCACCAAATTTTTACTAGGTAAGGGGAAATTTGATCCTGTAGTTTACTTTGTACTGTTTTCAAAAAAGGTGAAGACTTATAAATCAGTAGAAGAGAGGCAAGTAGGATAGGTGCCCCCCAAATTTTTAAATAGTGTGATGTGGAGGCAGGTGTGGAGGAATTAGGAACGATTCGAGTTTTTAAAGGTTTTAGTGTCCTGACCCACTGGGTCAGGATAGCATTTCTTGCTCCATCCCATTTTCCAGGGCCCATAAGGCGGTACTGATAAGGAGTGCATGGCCCAAAGAAAACTTCCCAAGCTAGTCTGGGATCCACGAGGAACAGAAATGGGATATTGGGCTTCGCACCTATGCATGCAGCAATGTCATCCATATAGGGAATGTAGGCATGTTTATCTTCACTGGTATCTTTTATCACACCCCTGAGAAGAAAAAGAGAGATCACTTTGCATTTTCGAGTGATAAGAGTCACCTCTCTTTCCCCACATTTCATTTCATTCTATCAGAGTCAAACCATTCTTAGGAATGTTTTTCTATGTAGGGGAGAAACACGACTAGACTGTGGAAGAACAGTGTGGAAGCAGGGGAACTAGACAAGGGGTGACAGCAGGGGTCCTGGTGAGAGATGATGGGGCTTGATTTGGGGCATAGCAGCAGGGTTGGAGAAAGGTCTGGATTCTGAGTTTATTTGATAATAGGTGTTGACAGCATTGGCTGATCTGGGTGTGAGAGTAGAAGAGGAGAAAAGGATCAGGGATTTTGATTGATCATATGGAATGAGTAGCTACTGACTGAGATGGAGATGTCTCAGAGCTGCCCATGTGTAGCATGGTCTGGGGTGTGGTGGAGGTCAAGAGTTTTGTGGACTGAGAAAAGCATGATGAGGTTAAAATGAAATAATAGCATTTATTTGGGGGGGGGTCTTAGATTTATAAACTGGGGAATATAATTTCAGGGATTAATCTAAATTATGTCTGCTAGGGTTTTTGTTCAAGGTTTTTTTTAAATGTAATTTTTAAAAAAAATATAACCATTAAGGTGTATTCTTTTTTTTTTCTTTAAAGATTTATTTATTTATGCATACCAGAGCTGGGGTACAGGCCCCAGGTGTGGGGGGTGAGAGGATTCACCAGAGACAGAGTGGGGAACAGAACAGGCAGACTGACTGAAGTACACTGCTGAGGGGAGCAGCGGGTGAGACAGGAGAGGTCTGCTGAGCCATGTGGGTAGCTCCTTGGCTGGCCAGGGGATTGAACTCATGCTGCAGAGACTGCAGGCTGCGGAACAGTTCATAGTGCTGTGCTTAACCCCTTGCACCACCAGGGAGGCCCGATGTTGTTATTTAAATTTACTAATGTTGACAGTGAGGCACAGAGAAGTTAAGCTCCTTGGCTGTGGATCCAACTTGTGCTGAAAGTGCTGCAGTAGTTGTGGATAGCTTCATAGTACTGATGCTTAACCCTTTGCACCACCAGGGAGGCCCCTGTTTAAGGGGTTTTAAAGGAAAAAAAATGGGGGAAGAAGGATAGAACTGCAAAAAATTAGAATTCATCATAGATTACATTTCTTGCAGTTTATTGGCTTTTGGTTAAATCGGTTTGGTTTATTCTGGAAAAAAGGAAAAGAGAAAAAAAAGTTCTCAGAGGTAGCTATGTCCAGTTGGAAACTGGTTCTTGCCAGTCAGTAAATAGTTTTTAAAAGTTAAATGCTCAGTAAGATGGCATTTTGGGCACAAGACAAAGCTGGCTTAGTCTAGCTAATCCCTCTTCACAGCTTTTAGGCATATTACATTTGATATATCTACTCCATACCTAAGTGGAAACATCTAGACAGAAATGGATTGGGAATTGGTGTTCTGGAGAGAGATTTGGGCTAGAGACACAAGCTGGGAGCCATGAGTTAGGATGACATTTAAAGTCACAGGCATCTAAGGGTGAGTATTCACAGAAGGGAGAAAAGACCTGAGGATTAGGATTGGGGATCATCAATTTTTAGGAGAGAGGAAAAGGAAACACCAGTAAATGGAGAGAAAGTGCAGTCTGAAAGGCCAGAGGAGAATAAAAACAGGATGGAGTACCAGGGGCCAGTGAAAGGCAGCAATGTCACCTGCTGGGGCCAGCCTCTGTGTTCTGCTGGGGCAAGCTGGTACCTCACCTGACACACATGACACCACCATACTGGTGGTTGGAGGAGTCAGGACTAAAAGGATATTCTTTGGATTCCTAAAGCAGTTGTTTCCAATCTACCACAGTGCTTCTCTATGCATGGTTTTTATATTGAAGATTTTTTTTATGTAGTGGCATATATTGTTGATTTTTCCTGTAGATTTTCCAGATTTCTTACCTTTCTATGAGTTCTTTCTTTTTCATATACTCAGCCATCAATTTTTGGGATGGAGGTATCTTACAGAGTCCTGTGAGAAAAATCAGAAACAGCACTGAAGTCACAGGAGGTTTTCTCCTTGAGTTTTCCTCTCCCAGGGAAATATGAGTGTCAAAGCTCAGAATGGAATTGGAGTGCAGAGGATAACTTTCTGGAGTAAGACCCCTTCCAAATCCACTTGGCCAGGGTGCTCTACTTCCAGAACTGTGACAACGCCTCGTCCTCAGCCTGTGCCCACATACTGGTCCTCAGAACCTGCCCCAGCTGGCCTGTCCCTGCCTCTTTTCATCTGCAATCACATGACACATATTCATACGTAGTAGTATTTGTTGTTGTTGTTTTTTTTAAGATTTTGTTTATTTATACAAAAACTGGGGTACAGGTCAGAGGTGCAGGAGGGTGAGAGAATTCACTAGAGACAGAGCAGGGAGCAGAACAGGCAGACGGACCAAAGACACTGCTGAGCAGAGCAGCAGGTGAGGCAGGAGAGGTCTGCCACGCCATGTGGGTTTATCCATGGCCAGCCGGGAATCGAACACGTACTGCAGAGGTTACGGACAGCTTCACAGTGTGGTGCTCAACCTGCTGCGCCACAGGGGAGGCCCCCATAGTAGTATTTATATGTATTAGATTGTTCGTACACCCTTGTATTGTAGTGTGTGTGCGCTTGTTTGTTTGTGTGTGTGTGTGTGTGTGTGTAAAGCTGTTCACTGATGAAATGTAAAACTTAACCCTATTTTAAAACCCTGCTTTGGTATATCTTTGCTTCTGTTTCCCAGAGCCTCAAGCATGGAAAGAGGCACCTGAGGTCTCTTCATCCTGCTGAGGCTTCATCCTCTAGAGTTGGTGTGAGTATGCGTTTGTTCTCCATCTTCCTTCTAGACCATCAGCGCCTGAACTCTGTTTCCTGATCAGTTCCACCCCTGCCAGGGGTCAAGTGCTCACCACTTAAGATAAACCAAACTTATCTCTGTGGTGTTCTAAACACCAGGGTTATTTTATTCTGTAGAAAGCTAGCACACTATTTGGTAGTTCATGATTGCCTCTTGGAGACTTAGAGTATGATCTAATCGAGTTTTATTTGGTTAGCTTTGTCATTCTGATAAGTATTTTTTTTAAAAGATTTATTTATTTATACAAGCACTGGGTACAGTCAGAAGCATGGGAGGGTGAGAGAATTCACCAGAGCAGAGCAGAGAGCAGAGCAGGCAGACTGACAAAGTACACTGCTGAGGGGAGCAGCAGGCGGCAGAAGAGGTCTACGCGCCATGTGGGACCCTCGCCTGGCAGCTGGGGAGCGAACTGGCGCTGCAGAGGCTGAGGGAAGCTTCTCAACCCAGCGCTCCACTGCTGCGCCACCTGGGAGGCCCTGATAAGTATTTTTTTGAGCTCATAAAATAAACAGGTACTTAAGAGTCTTCTGTGGTTTTAATATAATTGGATAATGCTGTGAAAGCACTTTAATTGGGCTTAAGGAAATTAAAATTTTGTGATAATTTAGTGAAAGTCTGTGGAGTTTTCCCCTATCATGTAAATAAAATGAGATTCCCAAACCACCTTCTACCACCCCCTTTCAAATAGCATTTGCTAATTTAGTTGAACACATCATTTTTAAGTATGGTTGATGATATCTATTATATTTGTGCAGTGTGTCAGAAGTCAATATGATTTAGTACTATGTTATGGGTTATTTATAAGTTGCGGGTGATTGCTTTTATTCATTAAGGACAAAATACTGCTAAAGGACAGTTTATTGACATGAATGTTTATAGTTTAAAAATAAAAATGCGTTCTTTAAAATGCTAAGTAATCTAAAATTTGCCCAACTGAGAGAGATGATTACAGCAATAGTTGGAGGAGCTACCACTTAGTGAGCATTTATTATGTGCCATGTATTGTACTGATTGCTTTTTTTTTTTTAAAAAAAAGATTTATTTATTTATGCATACAAGAACTGGGGTACAGGCCAGAGGTGGGGTGTGTGTGTGAGGATACACCAGAGACAGAGTGGGAAGCAGAACAGGTGAAATAAGTTGCAGAGGGGAGCAGTGGGCCAGACAGGAGAGGTCTGCTGCACCGTGTAGGTCACCTCCCTGGATGGGCATTGAACTCATGCTGCAGTAGCCATAGATTGCTTCATAGTACTGACGCTTAAGCCACCGGGAGGCCCTTGTACTAATTGCTTTTTTTAAAAATATTTATTTATGCAAACAAGAACTGGGGTGCAGGCCAGAGGTGTGGGATGGGGGGTGAGAGGAGTCACTAGAGACAGAGTGGGGAGCAGAACAGGTAGATCTACTGAAACACACTGCTGAGGGGAACAGCAGGAGAGACAGGGGAGGTCTGCCTTGCCATGTGGATTAGCTCCCTGGCTGGGGATCGAACTAATGTTGCAGTGGCTGGCAATAGCTTGACAGCACTGAGACTTTAACCCTTGAGCCACCAGGGAGGCCCCTGTACTAATTGCATTGCAGACATTCATTTTGCAAAATCCTTGTGAAAGAGTTCTTATTATCCCCATTTGATAGGAAAAAGGGCTAAAACTTAGAGGACCTCACAAAGCTAATGAGTTTCAGAGCTGGGATTGGACCCCGTTATCCTCGTAGTGGTAACTAACACCATCTAGAATATTTCTCACGGGCATTTCCCAAAGGTTACAATCTCCTCAGAACTGAACTTTTTCCACTGTGTGCCTCATCCTAACATTTTTCTTTGGAAGCAATATTAAATTCTACTTTTAGCAATAAATGGAAAGACAGTAAATAAACTAGACTAGACTAGACTAGAATAGGATTCTGAGGCTTCCAATCATTTCAGTTAGTCTGAGAAATAGGATCATATTCTGTTGTCCAAATTTATCCCATCAATAGAGTCAAAATCTCTCTATTCAGTCACATGAGCAATATAAACATACTCATCACAATGTTAGACATATATAAAATTAAGCATTCACTTTTTGGGGGGTATTTTGTTAGGTTACATGTATTTGATCTTTAGCTACATTGCAGGACACTGATTTTAAGAGTTAGTTGATTACATAGAACTTTATATAGTCAAGGTACCTTTGAAAACTCTTGTGGCCCATCGGGCCTGGAGCTCCGTGGCCGATAAGATGGAACCTGTGAGGCTAATGAGGCCGATGATAGCTAGTGTGGTCCTCTCTAGGTTTGAGGGAAAGACTTGCTTGTACAGGAAAATCTTCTTTGCACAAAGGCTTTGGAAAGGTTCTTCAAGAAAAGGAAAAGAAACTGTGTATCCTGTGGAGAAGATTACAGTATCTATGTTTTCTTCCACAGTCCTGTCTTCAAAGATGACAGAGGTTTCAGTAAATTCCTTCACGCAGGTTTTTATGGCCACAGTCCCACAGAGGATACACACTGGCAGCTCATCATTTATGATTATTTTCATTTTTTTCCTTTGATACAGAGAAAAACATTCACTGTGGTAATATCTATGAGACACGTCAGCAAATTATTCATTTGGTCAAATCAGTGAAATTTATCAACAAAGACAAGCAAGTGAATCGACCGATGCCTTATTCAAGACTTTCTCCTGACTTACTGTACATATAATGTGATTTGTTTTCCTGTTCTTGGTAAAGGGTACACGGAAAATTACTAAATCTAGTCTTTTCTGGTTGAGGTTTAAAATTTTCTAACTCTTTGAAGGAATTTCTGGAGCAATGTTCTTATCAGAGAGTTAGGATAGATACATGACAATCCTTCTGAAGATCAGTTTTGGGTCTCACTGCACTCAGGCCTCAATCAAAGAGAAAATTAGCAAGAAGCTTTTGGACAAAAATTTGAAAATCTGAATCTTTTCATACTGATAGCTATTTGCATTATGAACATTAGTCTAATCACAGTAGATATAGTGGTTTTATAAAATTTATATGTCAAACCATCTGGCACCACTAATTTTCCTTTTGAGTTGAAAAATATCTTACCAAAAGACTATATTTGGGTAAATCATATAGTGAAGGTCACATTTAATGACCTTTGCATGCATTTCAAATGTTTGCCAATGTGCAGCTCTATACAGATGTATATTAAAATACATGATTCTAAGAATTTCTATTTGAAATTCATACTTCTAATCATTGAGCCAGAGTACACATTTATTAAAAGTTACTGGTGGTTGGCCACCCTCACTCCTTGATACTGTGGATACTCTAGTTGTAGATGGTAACTATTCTAATATTTCCCAAAGCTGACCTAAATTTACTGATTTTCAGGCTGGAAATGAAAAATTTCATTCTCCATTTTCTTCTCGTTTCATGAATTGCTGCTTTTGTAATCAGACAGAGCATACCCTATTTTTAAGAATCACTGTGATACCTGATGGACATTCTTAAGAAAATAAACTCTCAAAAGGATAGACAGAGGAAGCATTACAGTTATTGAACATTGGAGTTCTGAATAAAATAGAATGAGAAATATCGATTCCACCATTTTATCATGAAATAAAAAAAATAAGTACCCCTTTGTAATACTTAATCCATAATTCTCATGGTTAAATCTTTTATTCAGCTGCCTTGCTAGACTCCACTTTTGTACACACAAAGGCAGAACTTCAGATATAAAATTATGGCATCTTCTTGTATTCATCATATTATATGGGTAGCCCCCATCTGAAGAGCGGGCAATAACCCAGGTACCAGTTCTAGTACTGAGAAATACCTAAAAAAGTGAGGCAAGAAGGATAAATACGTGATCATCATTTTATAGTATTTTTCTTCAACATATTTCAAATGTTCTTATCACATTATGATCTTATAACAGAGAACATAGATTTACAAATTACTATCTGTTCCTATTGCTGTTACTGTTTTCACAAATCACACTGATGTGACCTACATAGCTGTTAAAGTATTTTCATTAGGTTTGCTATACAGAATTAAAATACCAGTATATATGAGCTATTGATTTGGCATTTTTTTTTAACATGTAGATAATAAAAGAATCTAAAGTGAAGATTTGAAAATACAATTTTAACTGAGTTTAAAAACACTATTCTCTCCAGACATAATCATTTTCCTATAATTTATGATAAAGTAGAATAGATTTCTAGTTGTGGATCCTTGCTGAGACTCTCTAAAATCATGATGTCTACTTCTTTGGCAAAATAAGGGTTGTTTTTATCTTAAAACAGGGTATAAATATCATGTCTAATAGAAAACTTGGAGATGTTCAGAAAACATCCTCTCCTTTTTAAATAAAAAGGAAAATAAAATAAGTAAAAATACATGGAAATTTTGCTGTAATTACAAAGGGAGGGTAAAAAAGAAAGTAATTGACCTGGTTGGCACAATTTGTTCATTTGGTCTTGTTCCTGAAGGAGCATCTCTGAAAATTCCAGTGGCCTGGAAACCACATAATTTTCCTAGACCCTTTCTTGGAGATGGCTCAGTTTTGTTAACTGTGGATTTTAAAACAGTTCAGGGAGGGTAAACAGTGGCTTTAAGGAAGTTCAGGGTTTTTTACTCATCTGGCATCCCCTAATATATTAACTGGCCAGTAAGTGTTATAATTTTGAATAGCCCTCTCCAGTCACTAGAAGTGATGCTGGGAATGGGGCATGGATTCAGGGATGATGTACCTGAGAAGCTGCTCGACTGAGCTCCACGGCAACATCCCCTCCAGTGTTTCCGAGACCAATTACCAAAACGCGTTTGCCTTGAAAGTCTCCTGCGGTCTTGTAATCTTGACTGTGCAGGATCTGGCCTTTAAACTTATGGATTCCTGGAAAGAAAAGGGGATTATAAAATTGAAAGAATCTAGAGTTATGATTCCCTCATAGACAGGCATAGGGTCTGTGATAAAAAAAAGGAAGTCCCTGAAATATGGCAGTCTGTTGCTTGTACTGATAATTGTGGGAGGTAGAACCAGCATATGCTCTTCTATGCCATTGGATGCTGTGAGCCTAGATACAGATTGGGTGGAGTTTGCTTTATTGAACATTTAGGAACACTTATATTCCATATGAATGGAATATAAGCAATGACTTAGGAAAGTTAAGCTTATGCAGACAACAGTAAGAAACATTTCATGCCTTACCTGGAAATCCTCTGCAAGAAGTAGATTATTTGATGCTTGTTATTTTACACGATAGATATATTCCATATGTGTGTCATTTGTGTATATATTTACACATTGAATTTTAATTCAATTAAAATTTCTCATAAAAGATATTTCATGGCAAATTCTTTTGTAAATATAACTTTATTCTTGTGATTCAGACTTGTTACACTTTGCTTTATGTTACTTTTACTTTGTGATTTATTCTACTGGATTCTTATGTTACTTGTTATTTCTGATTGCTCTCTCAAGCTCCTAAGATTCTATCAATAGAAGTACCACTGTGAGAATATTTACATAGTGAGAAAGTCAACCAAATATTTTTCCTCTTTCTTTATTTTGCTGATCATCTCCATGGCAGATGGGCGATTTGAAGCATGAATTCATATAAACTGACAGTGGTGATAGCCGTGGAAGTAAGGGTGTTTACCGTGGAGGCTGCAGCTATGGAAATTTTGAAAAGGTAGCAGAAGGAACAAAAGGGGGCAGAGACTGACCTGTTGACTGGTGAAAGGAAACACTGACAAGGAATCAGAGAGAAAAGTTCAGACAGACTTGAGAGCCTTCAGTCGAAACTTCAAGTGCCTCTGAAATTTAAAGTAAGAAGACAAAACTCTCTCTACCATATATCCTCCTACTATTCATTTAGTGACTCATTCATTTACTCAATAACATCATTGAATAGCTACTATATATAGCGATATTTTAAAAGGATTCTTTGCATCCTGAGGGTCCCCAAAGCAGAAAACTAAATGTAGTAGTTGCCACATTCCAAATGAGATGTTTAACAAACTGCAGAGTTTGCGAAGAATGTGTAAACAGACCCATTTCATGAGCCTTAACTCTTCTTCCTTATTGAGGGATTAGTGTTGAAATGGCAAGGGGATGGAAATTGGAGACTTTCATGAGAGGATTTTTTTTTTTCATGAGGTATTGTTAAAGGACTGTGGTGCTTTCTGTCCCTTTGGCATGAGCCAGGTTCTGGGGGCTTCAAGGAGACCACTGTAAGATATTGATCTTTGGAGTCCATTGGGCACAACCTAAATGGTTGTAATGGAAACTACCAGCAAGGGGTGATGGGTGCCCCATTAGCGAGATTTTCTGTCTGCTATTGACAGTATGAGGTTCTCATTCCTGTGGACCAGATGAAAGTCACATATGAGAGAGTTGGTTTGATGTCAGTCTCAAGTGACTTTGCACAAGGTAGCCATGTGCACAAACACTGAGTCCATGGCAGACAATCTCTATGGAGATGGCTCTGGGAGAAGCTAGGTTTTAAGGAACTTGAAGTGCTTGGCCTATAAAAAGGGTCTGCACTGAGAGACTGCCAGTAATGGAACATCTCTCTGAAGTAGAACCAATAATAGCACCCTATAAAGCATTAATCCTTAAATACCCCAAGAACCTGAGAAAACTAGTACCAGTTTGGTGCCAGTCAAGAAAGACCTTCCTGCCCCCTTACTTTTTATCTTTCCCTTGACTCTAATTCTGAAAGAATCCAACTGCAGTTGATGGGTGAAGGGTCTGGTGGGAGGTGGAGCTTATAGAGTTAGGGAGAAATCAAGCTCACCAGCTAGCTGTGGGAAGGGAGAGGCTTCACTATTATAAGTAGTTGCAAATTTTGATCATTGTATGAGACAAAACATTTTAGTTATGAAAATGAGGTTTTCTGGTAATTTAAAGTCATCAGAGGACTTTTCATTATCTGGAGTAAGCAGAAGCATGAAAACTGCCTGATTCTGCATGCAGGGGCAGGGAAATGTCAAACACTACAGATTAGGTCTGCATGGACATTATAAGAAAAAACACAGTTAGTTAATAACTGTACCTTGCAAAAATCTGTTCTTTCAACATTATATAGCCCAAGGGCCTACTTTAAGTCTATATAACTTTGATGATAAAATGCAGTCTTTATCACAAGTTGTTTATCTTCTAGTGGGAAATAGGTAAATAGACAATAGCTAACTAATATTTATTCAGCCCTATTAAGAAAGTCCCAGACATTCTTCTAAGGGCTTTGTACATCATTTAAAAATTTTTTTTCTAATTTTTAATTTTTTGAAAGATTTTATTTATCTATGCATACAAGAACTGGGGCACAGGCCACAGGTGCGGGGGGTGACAGGATTCACCAGAGACAGAGTGGGGAACAGAATTGAAATACACTGCTGAGGGGAGCTGTGGGAGAGGCAGGAGAAGTCTGCTGTACCATGTGGGTAACTCCTTGGCTGGCTGGGGATTGAACTCATGCTGCAGAGGTTGCAGATAGCTTCATAGTGCTGTGTTTAACCCCTTGCGCCACCAGGGAGGCTCATATACATAATGTTTAATTCAAACCACACAGCACTGGATAGGGTGGACAGTGTTGTTATTTAACTTTACTACTGTTGACAGTGAGGCACAGAGAAGTTAAGAAACTTGCCCAAGATCATAAAGTGAATAACAAAGCCCTGCTACTCCAGTCACCTGCTCGATCTTGAGTCATCTGCCTCTGGATCTCAGTTGTCAAGTGTCACACTGTACTGCCACTATAGTTGGTACTATAACAGCTCTAATGGAGAGTCTAACCTAGACTGAGCCAAGGAAAACACGTTATGGAGGTAACTTTCTTCTTTCAGGATGCAGTTTGAGGGCTGATTAGGAATTTGGCAAGGAAAGCACTAAGGGGATTCCAAGAAGATAGAACAGAGTATGTACTGAATGCTTAGAAAACAGGGCATCAAATCATTCATTGAGGTTTTGCTGGAGAGGAACTTCTTGAGGGCTCAATCTTGGCTTATAAATTGTGTATCTTCCATGTTATCTAACACAATGCCTTGAAAATTATAGGCTCCTTATAATTGCATATTTGAGCAAAGGACACAAGGAAACATAGGATGCATGGGTAGTTTCTGAGACAATGTTTGGTCAATGCAGTGCCCAAAAGGAAAAAAAGGAATCAATTTGGTAAATCACAATTACAAATTCAGGAAAGAAGTAAAAGACAATTATTTCAACTCCAGATGTGATATGTGTGATAATGTTTGACTTTCAAGTAGTTGTGCTAACACTTTGTAGATAAAGCTTATACTTTCTATGTATTTTTTTGATAGGTACAAAAGTAATAAACCCAATATTTCCTACAGAGACAGAAATTCAGGTGCCCCAGTAAGACATTCATGTCCAACAGAAATTTTAAAGCTCTCTGTGAGACATACTGCGGTGATTGGTGAAAACCAGAAATGGAAATTCAAAAAGAGTAAATCAGATGTCAGAGTGGTTTTGACAGAATTTTAAATCACTGAAGAAATGTAGGAGAGTTGTAGCTGTCTTGCACTCTGGTATAAGTAAATTGACAGAAATTATATCTATTCCCAAATGATTTGGATTTTGTCCAGGATTGTTTTGTAATGTCTTGCTATTTCCTTGATGGACTCATATAACTACTCAGGCTATTTTCTGAATTGCTGGGATGTCTGAAATGTTTACTTTACCACTGAATGAGTTCAGGAGTACCGCCCCAATGTCACTTTATTATATTGATGATTTTGAGCTGAAAGCACTTGAAAAACAGCAAATACAAAGAGAAGATTTTTCCCCTTAAAGGAGCTCAATGGTCAAAAATCTCCTGTGAGTTTCATTAACCAGAGAAGATTGAATGACAGGAGAGTTGACTAGAAATTGATACCACATTCAAGGAAATTTTGTCACAAATGATCATCTCTCATATTTACTCTTCTAAGGGCTCATTCATTTTTCTAAAAACCATTTACTTTCCCTTAAATTGGCCATGTCCCTCTTCCATTTCCCCTACCTTAAGATACTATATGAAATCTCATTGGTGGTTTTGTGAAATGTATTTTTTTTTCCTGTGATGCCCCCACATGTAATATAATAAATGATTTTTACTTGTTTACCTTTACTCCTGTTATTTTGCCTGTTGTCAGTTTATTTTTATTTTTATTTTTTTTCAAAGATTTATTTATTTATACATATAAGAACTGGGGTACAGGCCAGAGGTGTAGGGGGTGAGAGGATTCATCAGAGACAGAGTGGGGAACAGAATAGGTGGGTTGACTGAAATACACTGCTAAGGGGAGCAGTGGGCAAGTCAGGAGAGGTCTGCTGCACCATGTGGGTAACTCCCTGGCCGGGGATCGAACTGGTGCTGCAGTGGCTGCAGACAACTTCATAGGTTGCGTCTTAACCCCTTGCACCACCATGGAGGCCCATGTCAGTTTGTTTTTAGACCCAGCTATTGAACCAATAGGTAGAGGAAAAGTCTTTCCACTCCCAAATCCTGGAGGTGGCATGTTTCAAGGGAAACAGACACAGAGGGTGGTTCATTTTAGAAAGAAAGAAATTATAATCCTTTCCCTCAGCCCTCAGAATAAATTGATCTGTTAAGGGATGTTTTCTATTGCAATTTTAGTAACATGTATATGTGATTTCATGTTCTTTTCATAATAATCTCTTGAGGTCTTTATTGTTTTCACTCATATTTTACATATATGAAAACAGATTTGGAGGGATTATGTGATTTTTTTTTGTAAGATCACAGTCTGTGAGTAGGGGAGCTGGGATCAAATCCAAGAACTGTGAGGCAAGATTCTAGACTTTGAACCTTAATGCTATGCTCTGTCACCCTCTTCCAAACAGGATTGTGATCTTTAACCTCTATGTCAAAACCTCTCTCGCTCTCTTTCGCAAGTTCATACTATGATCACTTTGTGCATGGTAAATTGCATTATTAGTTTGCTCAGAGAATGAATTCAAGCTGTATTTAGTAGAAAGCTACCTTTTACAAAAAATCTTTAAGCTCAAGAGTTCTCTTATTTGGCATTTTCTATTGCAGTCATCCCCCTATCCCAGAACCAACTTTGCCAATTTACATACCTTATATCACCATTTGGAGGCTTGTTTCTCAGCTATTGGTTGATTGTCCGTAACAGCATTCTCTAGTTATAGTGTAAGTAGGACTGAAGGTAGTTAGGAGTACAGGGTAAGCCATCCCAAACCTTACTGTAAGCTATATTCCAAAAGCATGTTATACATTTTTGACACTTACAATACATTTCCACATAGAAATATTGCTGTAAGAGGTGGTTCTATAGTTATTTAGTTCTTTGCCTTTGTGGATTTAGTTCTAGACCAGCAACAAGCCAGAAGCCCACTACCCATTTGGACTTAATTTTGGCATAATAAAAAATTATTAATCAAATTCTTAATCTATTCCTAAACACATTTTTTGAGAGGATATTTTGTTAATTTGAGATTTTATTTATAAGTCTCAACAATTTGAGGTTGGCTGAACTAAATTTTGAAAACTTTTCTTCACATTCTTCCTTTAAAATTCTATCATTTCGAAAGAGGAGAAATCACAACGGACACAGCAGAAATCAAAAGAATAATCAGTAACTACTATGAACAGTTATATGGAAACAAGTTCAACAATCTAGAGGAGATGGACAAATTCCTACAACTCTACAATCACCCAAAGCTAGATAAAGAAGAAATAGAACACCTAAACAGACCAATTACAAGCAGCAAAATTGAAATGGTAATCAAAAACCTTCCCAAAAACAAAAGCCCAAGACCTGATGGATTTACAAATGAATTCTACCAAAGATTCAGAGACGAATTAGTGCCTATCCTTCACAAACTCTTCCAAAAAATTGAGAAGGAAGGGACAATACCAAACACGTTCTATGAAGCCAACATTACACTAATACCAAAACCGAATAAGGACAACACAAAAAAGGAAAACTACAGGCCAATCTCCCTAATGAACACTGATGCAAAAATCCTCAATAAAATTTTAGCTATCAGAATCCAACAATGTATCCATAAAATAATTCACCACGACCAAGTAGGATTCATTCCAGGGACACAAGGATGGTTTAACATCAGAAAATCAATCAACGTTATCCAACACATCAACAAAAAGAAATATAAAAACCATATGATAATATCAATAGATGCTGAGAAAGCTTTCGACAAAGTGCAACACCCATTCATGATAAAAGCCCTTGAAATTCTGGGGATACAAGGAACATACCTCAACATCATAAAGGCCATCTATGACAAGCCAACAGCCAGTATCATCCTCAATGGTGAAAAGCTGAAAGCAATTCCATTAAGATCTGGAACAAGACAAGGATGTCCACTCTCACCACTGCTTTTCAATATAATACTGGAAGTCCTAGCCAGAGCAATAAGACAAGAGAAAGACATACAAGGAATCCAAATAGGAAAAGAAGAAGTCAAACTATCACTATTTGCAGATGATATGATAATATACATAGAGAACCCCAAAAACTCCACAGAAAAACTAATTCAACTTATCAATCAATTCAGTAAAGTGGCAGGATACAAAATCAACACGCAAAAGTCAGTAGCCTTCCTATACACAAACAATAAATCTGAAGAAGAAGAAATCAAAAAAACCATCCCTTTTATTATCGAAACAAAAAAAAAATATTTGGGAATAAATCTAACAAAAGAGGTAAAGGACCTATACAAAGAAAATTATAAAACACTGTTAAAAGAAATAGAAGAAGACACAAAGAAATGGAAAGACATCCCCTGCTCATGGATTGGAAGAATAAACATTATTAAAATGGCCATCCTTCCAAAAGCAATATACAGATTCAATGCTATTCCAATCAAAATTTCAATGTCATTCTTCAAAGAAATAGAGCAATTATTGATGAAATTCATATGGAATCACCAAAAACCCCAAATAGCCAAAGCTCTACTGAAAAAAAAAAGAAGGAAATGGAGGCATCACACTCCCAGACTTCAAACTCTACTACAAAGCCATAATCATCAAAACTGCATGGTATTGGAACAAGAACAGACATACAGACCAATGGAATCGAATAGAAAATCCAGAAATAAACCCACAGATTTATGGTCAACTAATCTTTGACAAAGGAGCAAAGACTATGCATTGGAGCAAAGAAAGTTTGTTCAATAAATGGTGCTGGGAAAACTGGGTTGCTACATGCAAAAGAATGAAGCTTGACCACTACCTCACACCATACACAAAAATCAACTCAAAATGGATTAAAGAACTAGACATAAGACCTGAAACCATAAAATACATAGAAGGAAATATAGGTGAAACACTATGTGATCTGCATATCAAAGACATCTTTACAGACACATCACCCAAAGCAGTGATAGTGAAGGCAAAGATAAACAGCTGGGACTACATGAAATTAAAGAGCTTCTGCACAGCAAAAGAGACAATAACAAAAACAAAGAGAAACCCCACCAACTGGGAGAACATTTTTGCACCCAACACTAATGATAAAGGACTGATCACAAAAATCTGCAAAGAGCTGATGAGACTCAACAACAACAAAGAAAATAACCCAGTCAAAAAATGGGCAGAAGAGCTAAAAAGAAACTTCTCTGAAGGGGAAATGCAAATGGCCAACAGACATACGAAAAATTGTTCAACATCACTTGTAATCAGGGAAATGCAAATCAAAACTACCATGAGATACCATCTTACACCAGTGAGAATGGCACATATTAAAAAAACTAGCAACAACAAATGTTGGCGAGGGTGTGGAGAAAAAGGAACTCTCTGCACTGTTGGTGGGAATGCAAACTGGTCCAACCACTATGGAGAGCTGTGTGGAGATTTCTGGACCTACTAAACATAGAGCTTCCATATGATCCAGCAATTCCACTCCTAGGTATTTACCCAAAGGACACAGAAACATCAATTCCAAAGAACACCTGCACCCCTATGTTTATAGCAGCACTATTTACAATAGCTAAGCTTTGGAAACAGCCCAAATGCCCAAAAATAGATGACTGGATCAAGAAGATGTGGTACATATATACCATGGAATATTACTCAGCATTCAAAAAAGATAAACACATGCAATTTGCAGCAACATGGATGGCACTGGAAGGGATCATGCTCAGCGAAATAAGCCAAAAAGAAAAAGAAAAATACCGGATGGTCTCACTCATAGCAGGAATCTAGAAAACTTAAATAAGGGATCAGGAAAATGAATAACTATAAGAAAGTGAAAATCAAAATCAACAAAAAACTATGAACCAGAGACACTTTTTGGGGGGTGGGGGCCGGGAGGGGAGGGATTGGGGTCAGAATGGGGCATGTGCAGTTGTATGGGGGAATATAAAAATAAAATTTATTATTTAAAAAAAATACTGAATGTATTTGTCACCTTTGAAAACTAAAGAAAAAGTGTTATGCAAATACTATCCTATTTGAATAAATAAATTTGCATACTGAATGTAAAAAAAAATAAAATTCTATCATTTCCTTAAAAAAGTATGAACATTTCACTTATTGAATTGCCTTGGAAGCCACTGACAAGTGACAGCAGAAGAGTACTTTCATATATTTTAGTAGTCTTCATTTGACCTCAAAAAATGGAGCTTTACCAATCCTGAGCATATAAAAAGAATGGACCTTTGGAAGCAAGAGAGTTTGATTCTGTAAAAGGAAATTTCTAAAATCTTTGTTATGATAGTCTGATTTAAGAAGAGTATGGATTACTATAGTAGTAACTACTTTGAAAGGTGCAAATAGTTCTTTAGATATATAATTTCTGGTGTGTTTCTTAAAAAAAACATCTATCAAGTTTCCCAAAAGCCTCACTTCCTTTAGGTTATTGAATAACAGGAACTCCTGATTCAAATGACCTGTAATTCAGTGACAAAAATCAAAACCTGTTCTTTTTCATGATAAAGCTGATAGTTTTGAAATTTATGTGAACACTGAACTTGAATTAGACACACATCTAACGCTTGAATGATGGGGCCTCCCTTGTGGTGCAAGGGGTTAAGACGCAACCTACGAAGCTCACCGAAGCCACTACAGCACAAGTTCAATGACCCCGGCCAGGGAGGTGACCCATATGGCGCAGCAGACCTCTCCTGACTCACCTGCTGCTCCCCTCAGCAGTGTATTTCAGTTGATCTGCCTGTTCTGTTCCCCACTCTGTCTCTGGTGAATCCTCTCACACCCCACACCTCTGGCCTGTACCCCAGTTCTTGTATGTATAAATAAATAATCTTTTTAAAAAAAAGCTTAAAATGACATTAACATTTATAGTAATAATAGTAAGACTGGACACCTACAATGTGCTTTATATCTTCCAAAGGTATATACTATTTTGAAGGTACACGTTCATTTTGTATATATTATTTCTGAAGGAACATAAAATTATTTATCATTATTTAGAAGTATTTACAATGACAAATCAATAGCTTTTCTTCTAGAAGAGTAGACATGATCTCAGGTAGAACTGACTCACCAGGAAAAGATTCCAGAGGTAAGCAGGGATTTGGGAAGTGTCCGGTGCAGACCATGACAGCATCAAAGACATCTCTTTCCTGCTTCCCCTCTGTGTCTGTGACGACTTCCCACTGACCAGTTTCATTAAAGTCTGGATGCTTTGTTATGCTGCACACTGTGGTCTGAAAGCAGAAGGCAGTTGCTTTACATCCATCACTTTGGGATCAGGAATGACTGTTAAGGTGACCATGTTTGTTACTTCTAGTGGATAAGGCAATCTCATGCTCTGAAGTCTGCCAATATTGATTTGTTTTGCCCCTAGAGAAATTAAGTAACTTGTGCAGAGTCTTAAAACATATCATATAGACGAGCACCCAAAACACTTGAATCCTTTCATTGTAAGGAAAAGCAGTTAATTTTTATTCCTACAGAGGAGATGCATTATACTTCCTGATGTCTTGGAAAAATTTAGAAAAATGAGTTTTGATGCATTATAATTTCTATGATTCAGATCTCTAGTCATTGCTTCCCAATTGGTTTCAGGAACAAAATTTTTCCTTTCATCTCAGAAGAAAAATTATAAACTTCATCCTAAATGAGAGCTTAGATTTAGAGAAGGAATCGGGAAATTCCAGTATTTTACTAATTTCTGGGCCTGCAAGTGAGTAGCAGGAGAAGTGACAAGGCTTTGTTACCTGCCTTATTCAGGTAGAGGTAAAAATAAGATATAAGTTTACTTAAGTATCCCATTACCATTAGATTGCTAAATGGACCAGTTCCCATTCATCTGTCTACCATAACCCAAGGTGTCTTACCCTAAATCGAATATATTTCAGAAGGTCAAAATGCTTAGCAAATTCTTGGAGATAGTTCCAAAATTTCTCATGCTTCATGAAATTGGGGTAGTCTTCTTGGAAGGGGAAGTCACTATAACATGACATTTCTTTGCAGACATTTGTCACTAATGATTTGTAGACCCTGGTCATCCCATCTTTAGATGTGTCCTAAGGTGAAACATAGTTAGCTTGGAGGGATGGGGGAGACATGAGTAAGAGAACAGAAATCACAATGGCTTATGCCAGCCCTGTTGAGAGGGCTGCACAGCTGTTAGTGTTCCACTTGTAATTCCAAGAAAACATAATATTGGATCCCATCCTATACTTATCACAAATTATTGATGGCATTGGAATGATTAAAAACAGAATCTTTCTCAGGCTACAAAGAAGCTAACCAAATTTAACAGAACTCTCCAAGACTCACATTGTCTTTGAACAATTCCTTCAACATGGAACCCATGGTCCATTCTGGCTCCCTTTTTTTCTGCCTTTTCATGTTTAATCCCCCCACTCATGCTCCAGAACTCTTCCTCTGCCCTGCTCAGGGAACTGCTCGCTGGCTTTTGTATTTACTATCTCTGTATACTTTCAATCTATGTATACACTCTCTTCACCGGATCCTTACTATCAGCACTTAAAATACTGGGGTCTTTTATTTAAAAAACAAAACAAAAGCCCTTTTCAATCTACATGTCTTCTAACTTTCTTTCTCTCTCTCCTATTTCAATCTTCATAAAATAATTATTACATATTGGCAACCTTTGTTTTCTCACAGATTCCTCAAGTTGTTGTGTCACTCATTCTCTATCACTCAAAAAACAAAACAAAACAAAATCTATTTTAAAGGCACCAGTGAATATCTTGGGCCTGAAGCTAATCTCTATTTCTCCTTCCTGTCTCTTTGAAAACTTCAGTCACTGTAAGATCTGTGTGAGGTAGCTGTCTGGTCCCAGAGCACCTTATATGGTCAAACATTCTTTAATGACAACAATAGATTCTGAGAAATGCATCATAAGGCAATTTGTTATTGTATGAAGACCTGAGAGTATAATGTTACAAAGCTAGAAAGCATAGCCTACTGCATGCCTAGGGTATATGTTACAGCTTATTGGGACCACCATCTATGGCATCTGTCTTTGATTGAGATGTCATTTAGTGATGTACAATGTAACTCTAACAGAAAACTGATCACATTGTAATGGTTTGTAATGGTACTATTTCTGTTACCTGTTAGACTGTAGGGAGAGCAAGGTGTCTGCCTATCTTTCTCTCCATTATGTCTTGGTAGTAGGGATATGACAAGTACTTGCTGCATCAATGAAAATTAATACCATAACTGCATTCTTAAAAAAAGGTAGTATATATATATGATTAGAAGAAATTACATAGAAAATTTAATAGTTTACCTGTAAGTATTGTTATGAGGTATAATTTGTATTTTTCCTTAAAAAAATCTCAATATTATTTTCTGAAAGTAATCTACATAATGTTAATGTAGAAGGAACCACATCAGCCATGGGATCAGATACCAAAAGTCATACAATCCAGACCCAATACTTTCTTTTCATTTACATTTGGTGGTTTGATGAGGATACTAGTATGCCAGACTTTTTTCTAGGACACTACAATCCTAGGATTGTAACCATTTCTGCTTATAAACATTTGCTTGTTCAGTCTTTTTACCATCAGTCTTCTTACCATCAAAGATTGGTAAATACACCCCCTCCATGAAGACTTCCCTCATTTGTACTGGTTTGAAGTCATCTTCCCTACTTTGCGTTACCATAGGTGTTGCTCCTCTCTTCCTCCTGAAGCATTTAGTACTGGGTCCTCCAATTTTCTGATACTTTATACTCCATCCCTGGGACAGGTCTCTTGATTCTCACTGAAGACCCTGCAGGACATGTCCTCACCAGAGGCAGAGGTACTTAACTACTTTCAGCCACACCTTATGATGCTCAGGTTAACTGATGTTGGCCTACTCTGAGCATAACCCTCTGGTCTGCAAGTTCCACTCCTAAGAAGGACTGATCAGAGACTGGGTTCTTCGTATTTTGATAAAGTGAAGGTTATCACCCAAACCTTTCAACGTCTGGGTCCTTGCCTCACCTTGCCAGTTGTCTTTCCAAAGACCTGGTCAACACTGGGTTCTACTCTGATCCATATTCATCAAAGACATTCAGGTTACCTGATGTGACACTGCTACTTTATCTTAGAATATCCATGGTCAGAAAACCACTGTAACTTCAAATACCCTGATTGTCTATTGGGTGTAATTCTATCTTCCTCTCTCTTCTAAGAATCCCTGTCCTTTTCTGAACAATTTTCAAGGTTCATCACCTATGAGACTGCATCCTGCATAGTTTTAGTACTGCACTGTGTGTATGCTCGTGTTGTTGCAGTGAGCTGCTTCCTCACTTGATCACTAAGATAGGCTAAAGCCACCACAAATGGCCAGGATTATGGTTGGGGGTGTGATGGTATGAACTACGCACAGTGAACTTCCACAGTCCCCCGATGTCATTGCTTTTTTCAAAGCAGATGGGCTGCAGGTCCTCATCCAAGCAGCATTTGATGGAGGACAGGCCACTCACACCAGCTCCAATCACTGCAACTCGCTTGGCCATAGTAGACTCTGCTAGAGGAAGGGATAGAGGGCTTTTTTAAAAAAATATTTATGCATACAATAACTGGGGTATAGGCTAGAGGTGTGGAGGGTGAGAGGATTCACCAGAGACAGAGTGGGGAGCAGGACAGGCAGATCTACTGAAATACACTGCTAAGGGGAGCAGCGGGTGAGACAGGAGAGGTCTGCTGCGCCATGTGGGTCAGTTCCCTGGCTGAGAATCAAACTCATGCCATAGTGGCTGGCTATAGCTTGATGATGCTGAGACTTTAGCCCCTGAGCCACAAGGAGGCCCGAGAGAACTTTTTGATGACAAAGGTGGAAGGGAGCCCAACTTTTGCTGTGATATAAATATCCTCCTTTTAACTTTGATCTGAGGCAGAACCCCATTTTAATTAAGAATGCAGGCTCTGAAATCAGACTATTTTCTTATTTAAATATTTTATTTTATATAATTCTTACACTTTTTTCATCTTTGCACAATGTATGCATTTTCATTTTGGTTATATTACCCATACAATTGCCCCCCACCCCTGCTTATTTTGACTCTAGTCCTTCCTTTCCCCGCCCCTCCTCCCCCCAGTGTGTCTCTGGCTTATATTGCTTGTTGATTTTGATTTTTACTTTGTATTGATTAGTCTTTGAAATCAGACTATTTTGGTTTAAATGCTGGCTTAGTAACAGTATAAATTTGGGCTTAATAACAGACTTTAATTTTCTCATCAGTAACATGAGGATAGCAGTAATAACAACAACACTTATTTTAAAGGTTTGTTGTAAAGATTAAATGACTAATATATTTTGGAGGGGCTTTAGAAGTATGTCTGCTATATAGTAAGTGCTCAATTAAATTTAGCTTCTTTACCATCACCAAGCCCCTCTGAACCTTAGAAAATGTAGCCAGCAGAAATGTTAGTTTTTATTCAACACATCTAGAGTTCTAAAGAACAGTTGGTCTTGGAGGCATGTCCTGCCACAAAACAAAGATACTACATTAATCAAGGGGGCAATTCTTACCCTTGCAGAGAGGCAAGATTTACTGATTACTATACAGAACAAGAAAGAGACAAGAAAGAGACAAGAGACAAGTCCCCAAAGAAAGAGACAAGTCCCCAAAGAAAGAGACATGGGATATTTTAGTATCCAAAATGAGGCCAAATGAAAATGAAAATACCTGTGTTTTTCAGCAGGGATTAGAGGAAATATGTGTCATGGAGATTTATAACCAGTATTTCTTGATTTCATAATTTGGGCTTCTGCAATAAAGCTTTTGCTCTGATCACCGCTTAATACCCTCTTTCCTTCTATTCTGCCTAGAGAAGACAGCTCACACAGATAAGATTTATTGACAAGTTTAGAAGCAAGTAGGAAAACAAACCTGTAGCTTCCTTTGTGTTGAGGAATTGGAGGTTCAGACAGCTCCTAGTCAGAAACAAATGACCTCCACCAATAAAAATACTTGAACTTTCAGGCCACTTGATAAGGATCTGGAGTTGGAAGATCTCTGTTGTGCTGTCTTTGCAAGAATAACATGAAAGAAATGGAATTGGTAAAATGCAAAATGTGTTAGATTAGCAGCATTAATTTATTCAGCTGATGTACTCTGGCTGATTTTAAGTGCAGGTACTGAGCCAAGTGTGGGAGCTCCAAAGGTGATTGAGATCTAGTGAATAAATAATACTAATATAAAAGGATACAATGATTGGCCATAAGTAGGTGACCCTATGTGGAGAAAGGCTGACACACAAACTGTCATCTGGTACATTCTATAAGTGTGCTCTGGTTCAGTGTTTGGAGACATTATTGGGCTGTTCAGGTATGCCCGAGACATGGTTAGAGACACAGAGTGAGCTGTGTCTTTTCTGGGCAAAATATCTTGTCCTTTACAGACCAATTTAGAAATGGTACAGGCAGAAAAACCAAATTGAGAATCTGCACCTCTTCAAATTATGTAGTATTTGGAGATTTAATTTTTTTTTAGAGATTAAAAATTCCTGAGTAGGGCCAGCCATGTAAAAAATATGCTTCAAATCAATAAGGGAAGTTAATGAGTGAAATAAAAATTGAGAAATCTGAGTTCCAGTTCTGCTTCTGCTTATAACCAGCTGCATAGACTTGGACAACATTCTTGATTTCCTAGTGAGATTGGTCCCACATTTGCGAACTAGAAGCTTCTAGTTTTCATTTCCTTCTGGTTATAAAGAATAATTTTTACATCTGAATGTCAAACAATTGGTGCCAAAAATCGATGTGGATTGCAAGGCAGGAGAAAATACTATGGATTTGAAGGGTTGGGAGGATATAAGGTGCGAGTGAACTCTGTAAGCTGGGCTATAAATATAAGCCTTTGGGGCTCAAAGGTTGTTTACATTTAGTTCTTTGGTAGACATGAGTCATAATCTATTTTTTAAATTTAATTTATTTTTGATTGATTAACTTAGGTTTACAACACTATATAAGTTTTAGGAATATAAATTTATGCCTCTGCAAATATTTGTCACCACACCTACCACCATAGCACCAATAATCCACCATAGTCCATTGGGCCCTCTCTTCTGTTTATTGCCCCCCATCTTTCCCAGCTGATAGCCTCAATTCTGCAGAGAGACTTCTAGGGATTATTGTGTTTCCTTTTGGTCTATTCTTTATTTTGTTTCTCTACATATCCAATAGGAGTGGAAGTATTTGGTATTTGTCTTTCTCCTTCTAAGTCCTCTAAACTGGACTTTTGAACAACAGGAAACCCCATCCCATCTCCGACAGAGCAGCAAATACAGAAATCATTTTTGGGACCTGCAGAGACTAGGGTGATTTATAAATTGTGTTATTGATTATGATTTATTTGAATGTGGAATTTGATCTGTTTACATTTTTGATGACCACACACCAATGCTTTTAGTTTGTTACAGAATTTCCTATCATTCCACCAGTGAAGGAGTTTGTGTTGTTCAGTTCCTCAGACTCCCATCTCAGCCATAGGATAAAGTCAGAGGTGAGCTTAGATTCACAGAAAGTCCCATGATTCTGTTCTCACCAGCACCTTCCTTTTGGGTGGTTTCCTCCTACAATATCACTTCATTTACTACAACATTGTTTGGCTTTCTGACTCTCCTGAAATCTGTTGTTTCAATCCTAATCAAGAGGCCTTGAGAATCACATTCACTCCTAAGGTATACAGCCACAGAGGAGAAAATTCCTCTTATTAATCAAAGCTTACACTTAAGAGGGTGCCCCTTTCCCTAGCCCCCAACTAAGGGGGTACATGCCAAGAATCAGGGCACAGTGGGTTTGATCCTGAAGAAAACTGTGCCTAGAAGTAAAAAGATGCCATCTTTGTGAAAAAGCAGCATTTTGGAAACTGCTCTCTCCAGACAAATCAGTAACTTCCAGTAACTTCAACTCTAAGATAAATCATCGTTAAATTTCCCAGTTCCCAAAATATAAGACACTAAAAAAATACGGTAAATTTTATCAGCCCTTTGTTTTTCTCAATGCATAGACAACATCTGATAGATATGTTAAGTATCTGCCCAGTTTTTTTTTTTTTAATAAAAATCCTTGAATTGTTTTTCCAGGCAAACTGTATAGAGTTCTCACAGAATTCTATAGAAGCTCAGAATTTGGGCAACTTTTGCAGGGCTCTATTCCTCAGTTTTGATTCTTTAATAAACTCACTGGCTCTTGCCCACTTCAGATTATTTAAGCCAACAATACTCTGCAAAGTAGCTTTTGAAAACATTTCCCCATGTAAAAAAAATCAGTACACTTACCTTGTTGGCATAGACCAAATAATCTGAATTAAGGTATTTCTCAGCGCCAGTAACTCTTTTTTGTGTGTGTCTTAAAAATTCTCAAAATCAAGCTTTTTGTTTAAAAGAAAAATAAAGGAATGTCGACTTTGATCAAGGAGCTATCAGCTTAAAACAAAACCCACTTGTCTTTTCTGTGTTAATGGTGACAGCAAGAAATACACTTATTGAGGAAAAGAAAAAGTTGTGTGGGACACAAGCTTGATAGTTCCGTGATCTTATGGGAGGGTTTAATGACGAGTTAGACTATGGCATTTGGATTGGATGGAAGTGAATGACTCTGTCCCTTTGCCCCACCCTCCTAAAGGGCACAGTTCAGGCAAAGTTCTAAAACTTGAAGGGAAGCGTGTGGTAGGCAACTACTTTTCTTATTGTTGTCTTTAGAGGGCGCCAAGTCATTCAAAATCATAGTCTATTGGAAACTTCTAACCCCCCCTCTTTTTTAAATATTATTTTAGAAAAAGATTTGTTTATTTATGCATACAACAACTGGGGTACAGGCCAGTGGTGTGGAGGGTGAGAGGAATCACCAGAGACAGAGTGGGAACAGAACAGGCAGACTGACTGAAATACACTGCTGAGGGGAGCAGTGGGTGAGACAGGAGAGGTCTGCTGCGCCATGTGAGTAACTCCCTGGCCAGGGATCGAACTTGTGCTGCAGTGACCATGCATTGCTTCATAGGTTGCATCTTAACCCTTTGTGCCACCAGGGAGGCCCAATATTATTTTTTTAATTGAGGTAAAATTGATTTACCACACTATATATGATTTAGGGGTATTGGTTTACACCTTGTCAAACATCTGTTACCATATCACCCTGAACACCAATGTACCAATCATTCTCCACCACAGTACACTGGTTCTTCTTCCCCCTTCACGACCCACTTCCAACCTCCCCTTTTGATGGTCTCAGTTCTGAAGTCGGCTTTCTAAGACTGTTTAGCTTTGTCTGTTCCTTTGTTTTGTTTAGTTTTGTCTGTTTCTTTGTTTATATTCCACACATGAGTGAAACCTCCCATAATTTGCCTTTTTCCTTCTGAATTATTTTGCTTCACATAATCTCCAGTTCTATCCATGTTTTCACAAATGGCAAGATTTCGCCTTTAATATAATATTGCTGAGAATATTCCATTGTGGGTATATATACCACATCTTCCTAATCCACTTGTTTCCATACATTGGCTATTGCAAATAGTGCTACAATGAAGATAGGAGCACATCTGTCCCTTTGAATTGGTGTTTTTGTGTTTTTTGGATAGATACCCAGTAGTGGAATTGCTGGGTCATAAGGCAGATCTATTATGAATATTTTGAGAGCCCTCCTTTTCTATTAAGGCTGGATCCGTCTACGTTCTGAACAGTGTATGATATAAATCCTGACTCTTTATCCCTGGCACTATCACAAGAACTGTCCAAAGGAGAAAGTAACTTAGGTGACTCTCACCTCATCAACTTCTTCCGTATCTAGGGTTCTCAAGCCCCAGAGTATGATTTTAAAATTCAGAATTTATAAGGAATTTAAGTAGTTTCATCCCTGCAGAAAGGGTCAGCAGAAGGAGTTGGTAAAACATGTTTGAAAAAACATAAAATTATTTTTGGATATTAACTTAGGACACAAGAAGAGGAATAATTACAGAAGCAGTGGCGATATTAGAATGCTAAATAGGCACCATCTTTTTTTTCTTTTCTTGAAAAAGTTGCAGCAAAGGTCATCTTATCTTCATTGAACAGGATCTAAATCAAGAGCACAAACACAAATGCCCACCAGGGTCAGGAAGGTAATAACCCTGATGAGGGGAGAGAGCCAGAAATATCTGCCAGAAGAGCAAATTGCCTGTATTAGGTTCAGCTCAATGGTGCTGTTTGAGATCATGAGCTCAATATTGCAGGCCATTCAGCTCTTTTCAGTAGAAACTGCAAATCCAGATTTTTTTTTTTAAGATTTATTTATTTATTTATACAAGCACTGGGTACAGTCAGAAGCACGGGAGGGTGAGAGGATTCACCAGAGCCAGAGCGGGGAGAAGAACAGGCAGAATGACGGAAATACACTGCTGAGGGGAGCAGCGGGCTGCAGGAGAGGTCTGCGCGCCATGTGGGACCCTCCTCCGGCGACCAGGGATTAAACTGGCACTGCAGAGGCTGCAAGCAGCTTCGCAGCCCAGTGCTCAACCGCTGCGCCACTGGGGAGGCCCCACAATAGCCTTTTCTATAAGGAGACACAGGTGATCTGACTTGTCACTCCCAATCAGTTTTGAGTCCATTCTGTATTGGGAGTTTCAAGCTCAAGCAAGTAGTCAAAACTTAAATATATTAAATGCATGCCTGCTCTTGTAGCTATCCAATAGTTTTCCCTCTGTCCTGGATGCCAGCTCTGTGCACCCTTTTATCCAGCACAGAGTCTCCAAAGTTCCCAATGTGGGTGTGTGTCCTGGTGTCATGAGCTGTAGGGGGGCTCCATATGGCTTTTCTCTTCTTTCTTTGAATTTTGCTGCCCTGCTGTTGCTGTGAACACAGTTTAATTAAAGTTTTCCCCACTCCTTTCTGCTGGACCTTTGCCTCTACTGTATGCTATAGTTGTTTATCTTTCAAGGGTTGACTTTGTTCTTGTATAATTTAGTTTGAGTATATAGTGGAGGAGAGCACAGCAGCTTCCTTCTGCCACCATTTTGCTGGACTCCTCTCCCTTGCCTTATTATTTTTTTGTAATAAACACATTAGTTTTTTTAAATTTATTATTTTTAAAAATTTTATATGTTTTTTACATCATTTTTCATTTTTGCACAATGTGTGTATTTTCATCTTGGTTATAATCCCCATATAATTCCCAGCCCCCTTGTTTTTCTCCTACTCCCTCCTCCCCCCAACCTTTTGGAGTGTGTCTCTGGTTTATAGTGGCTTGTAGATTTTGATTTTTACTTTATTATAATTAGCATTTTTCCTGGTCTCTTATTTAGGTTTTCTAAATTCCTGCTCAATGAACCTCATCACAGCCATCTTCATGGGAGATGCTAAGGTAATTAGGCAGCTTCAGGGACAGTACAGGCAGGGACTTCGGGAGAGTTAAAGAGACATTTGAGATAATGACAGCAAATTCTAAGAAGTGCCAACCAAAACATACTCCAGAGATGAGATCAGAAAGTTCAGGAGGACTGAAAAAAAGAATGGACAATGCCTGGTCTGGTGACTGTAATTTCTCTTGCACACACTGGAACCTTAAAGAAATCTGCACCCTGAGATCTGCACCACCATAGATCTGTGTAGATATGGTGGAATAAAAATTAAAAGGGGGGAAATGAAATGGAAAATGTCAGAGTGACCTGTTGATTAGCTGAAGTTGGGACAAAGCCTGTAGACTTAAAGTTTCAGGGAACAGCTGATAAGCACCCCCAAGGCCATGTGCACCCTGATTCATGCATTCCCAGCTGACTATCCCTTGATTTAGTCAATAAATACTCTGTAACTTAGTTGCTCGGGGCTCAGACTTTGGAGAGACATCTCCTCTGGGCTCCCCCATTGTAAAGCCAGCCAGCATAAATAAAGATCTTCCCTTCACTTCTCTGAGTGAGGCCTGCTTCCCTGATGGAATTCTGCCATGACAGAATATCCACCTCCTCACTAACCCATAAACTCTCCAAACCCATGCTTTTGAGTTTTTAATGAAAGCTTCATTGCATAATTATGATTGATTAATCATTGGCCATTGCTAATTGATTCAGCCTCCAACCCCTTTCCCCTCCCTGGATGGGAATGGGGGATGGGGATGAAAATTTCAACGCTCTAATCACAATGGTTTTTTCTCCTGGCAACCAGCCCCATCCTTGGGGACTACCAAATTCACCCCGTTAGCATAGAAAATACCTTTATGCTCTCATCACTTAAGAGATGTCAAGGGTGTTAGTTCTGTGCCAGAAATGAGATGACAATGAAATATGTATCTCATATATATCATATGTATCTCATATGTATCTCACATTATTACAAATATTAAGAAGTAAAACACATCAGGAGGAAAGTTTGAAAAATGTGTAGGGGGCAGGAACAGGCCACTGAGCAGGTTTTTTGATCCCTCAGACCAGGTAAAGGAGGAGTCCTAGAGAGTCCTGGAGCCCTCGGTGGCTGTTGCAGGCTTTTATTGGGATTTACCAGGTACACGGCAGGCAAGGGTGCTGGGGGTTTGGGAGGCCAGGCCTCCCAGCCCCCAGCAAGTCTTCACTCTTTCTAGGCTCTCCAACGTTCTCTCTGTTTCTCTCGTGGTTGTGGTTCTGCTTCTGCTTCTCTGCTTCTCTCGGCTTCTGCTGGCATCCCCATGATGCCGCCCTTAATAACTCAGTCTCTCAGCCCAGGTGTACCCACTTCAGGTGCCCGCCATCAGGCATGCATTCAGGACCACAGGGTTCCGTCATCTATCCTAATGGCGGGAGGGCAGAAAAGCCTGATACTTTTTCCTTACCCTACAAAATGGAACAATGAAAAGAAGGGAGAAGAGCAGACAAGTGGAGAAGGAGTGACCTGCATCTATATGCTTCCCTCCAGAGTTTGCTTTTTCCTGATTCCAGTTTTGTAATCCACTCCCGGATGCAAGCATGGATTCTCTGTGAGAGCTGCATGCCACCTGACTTTACCATCCAAGCCTATCAATGAGGTGAAGTGAAGGCAAAACCTTTTCTGCCTGTGAGTTACAGTCTAATCAGGTATAAGTGTGAGAGAACCAAGGGCTGGGTTTAGTTTGGTCAAAAACTGCTTTTGACATGGTGTTTCCATTTGCTTTGCTTTTCCTTGCTCCTTACTTTTTCTCTATTAAAGACTTCTTGGCTCTCCTCATTCTCTTATGAATTCCAGTTGAATTTGGTTGGACTGGACTTTTAAGAGGAGCCAGCTGCTGCAAAGGGAGACCTGAGCAGGAGATTGCTTCCTTTGGCTGTTGGAAGTCAGTTCCCAGAGCAGGTAGAGGTGGTTGTTTTCTGTTGAGTAGATCTGATTTGAGTCTGTATTATCTGGTTAGAGCAGCCCATTTTGTTGTAGATTTCCCTAAAGGGCAATGAACACTCCTAGGCAGGCACATTCCTTTAGAAACACTCCAACAAACACACTGAATTCCCTGTCCTATATGGGTGTTATTAATAGGCACCTCAAATAGAGGATCTATTTCTCTCTTTCCCTTCATCATCCCTCCAACTCTTGAAAAGAGTATAAAAAACACATGAAACAATTTCTAGGTGTCTTTCTTTTTAATCATTTGATACCAAAAGACCACATTTAGCACAACCAAATCTTTGTGGAGTAGGGGTTTTAATTTAGATCTATGAAAATAGTTTATGTAGGAAGGACGTATGTATGGGTACTGTCTAGAACAGCTCTTTCTTTTAAAATGAATCTGGAACCTTCCAGCAGCCTTCAAATGCACACAAATCTTGGTGGTCATTTACTAGCATTAGAAGTAGATGGAGGAGCTGGGAGAAATTCAGGAAAACTAGTGGTAGCCCTGTGAAGGGCATGGGTGGCTTTACAATTCAGATTTGGTTTATAGTTGTGAAAGCAATGTTCTTGCAGTGGAGGAATCAGGGCATAAATCTACTCTACAAATCTAATCTTGCATCTGAAAAGCCATTTAGGAATTATTTTATTTATAGGAAAATTAGGAAAATGGCCACAAGCAAAGCCAGAAAACTAAAGAGTTTAAGTAATCTTACAAAAGGAGATGGGGATTCTTTTACGATTCGTGTCTTAGTGACCTGGAATGTTCGGTCCCACTGGGTCATGATGGCATTTCTGGCTCCTTCCCACTTTCCTGGTCCAGTCAAGCGGAACTGGTATGGTGTGCATGGGCCAAAAAACATGGTGAGAGCCAGGCGTGGATCCGTCAGGAGGATGGAGAACAGGTTGGGTTTTGCATCAATGTAAGTCAGGAGTTCATCTATGTATTCGATATAATCTGTTTCTAAAGCTTTGCAGTAGCACAGACCAAACCTTTATGATAGAAAGATTGGGGATAAGGGGAAGAAAAAAAAAGATAAAATAATGATGATCATAGAATAAGGAAATTGCCAAAAGTAAATGATGACATTACAAACTTTGGGATGGTTTCTGTACTCTTCCCTCCATAGCTCTCTAATGGTGTCATTTGATTGCTGGTTATAGCTTGAAGCTTGATAGCTTGATAGCATTGACTTTAACCCCTGTGCACCAGGGAGGCCCCTCTAAGCTGGGTCTTTAAGCTTGTCATCTTACCCATAGTTTGGTTTCCCTATGTTCCACATCTAAAAGATGGGCTCTTTGAAAAGATATTCTATATATAAGGTGCTCAAAAAGCTGGTAATGTCTCTAATATTACTTTAGCTCTTTTGTCAAATGATTAGCAATTTCTTGAGGAAAATACATTTTACTATTCCTAAACCTTTCTAGAACTCAATTGTTACTAGATTTCTATAACGTAGAAAGTCGCAAAAGTCAATCGAATGGATTTCCTTGTAATGTTTGTATTAGTCCCTAAAATCACTGGATGATCTATGTGATGAAAATTTTTTACATTGAATGGTTCTAGTTAATTATCTATGTTTTCCACTGGGAAACAAATCAAATTACAGATTAAGGATAAAGAAAAAATATTTAAAATGCTTTTATTGTTTTGGGATTTAGTAGTTGGGCAATCATATCAATTCATTGTTTGGAAATACTTTTGAATGAGAGAGGTGGTAACAAGTTTCTTAAATACAGTGATTTCATTTTTTTTTTAAAAAGATTTATTTATGCATACAAGAGTTGCGGTACAGACCAGAGGTGCAGCTGGGTGAGAGGATTCACCAGAGACAGAGCTGGGAACAGATCAGGCAGATTGACCGAAGTACACTGCTGAGGGGAACAGCGAGTGAGTCAGGAGAGGTCTGATGCGCCAAATGGGTTGCTCCCTGGCCAGGGATTAAACTCGTGCTGCAGTGGCTGCAGATTGCTTCATAGGTTGTGTATTAACCCCTTGCGCCACCAGGGAGGCCCCAAATACAGTGATTTTAACACTTTTTGGGGGTCACAGGGCATCTTTTTTTTTTCTTTTGAGTTAAAATTTGTACCAAAGACCAAAACAGTAAAACAGACAAAACCAGAGATATTTTCATGAGAGTAGAAGTGAGAGTAAGGGCCTCAAAATTCCTTTATTTGCTGGCCTTCTTCCAGTAGCCTGACCCCAGAGTGGTAAACAAAGAAGATAAACAAACAAAGAAGGTAAACAAACAAAGCACAGGGGGAAACTCTCCCCTGGAGAAGGGGGTCAAGGAACTTATTTTGCAAGAAGCCAGATGTTGGGCACAGGTGGTTAAGCACCGCAATATGAAGCTGTCCGCAGCCTCCACAGCACGGGTTCGATCCCAGCCAGCCAGCAAGAATCCCACATGGCGAGGCAGACCTCTCCTGTTGTGCCCGCTGCTCCCCTCAGCAGTGTATTTCAGTTAGTCTGCCTGTTCTGCTCCCCACTCTGTCTCGGTGAATCCTCTCACCCTCCCGTGCATCTGACCTGTACCCCGGTTCTTGCATAAAAATAAATAAATCTTAAAAAAAAAAGAAGCCAGATGTTAAATAGGATTTGAGGCCCATGTTATGGCCTCTAATTCAACTAGTCAACTCCTGCTCTTGCAATTTCAAAGCAGCCATAGACAACACGTAAATGAACCCAGGTTGCTAATTTATTATGTCTTTACTTATAGTCATTATGGTTTGAACTTCATATCATTCTCACATACCACAAAATCTCTTTCTTTTCCAACCATTTAAAAATATGAAGGTGAAAAACAGGTGAGATGAGCAGGTTTGGCTAACTTTTTAGATTGCTAGATTGCTGCTTGAGTGTCATAGAATAAAAACAATAAAGCTAAGTAGACATTTGTTGAATGAATGAATGAATGAATGAGGGAACCCTTCCAATGTCAGAGAGGACAAACACAGCTATATATATCATGACTTTCCCAACAACCTAATATTTGCCTGCTGATTATGGGTAATGGGTGGTATAATATATCTTGTAGATGAGGGTTATTATAATTGACTTAGAATCCACACATGCCCTGTGGTGCTAGATGACCGGTCTGATGTGATGATTTGGGGACATTAAAACTTCCTCCTCTCTTCTTCACTGGGGTATCCGAGTTTTCCCCCTCCAAGTCTCAGGTGCTTTTTCTTTCTCCAGTGTATCCCTCCTACTCTCTGCTATTAGTTTTACCAATTTTAGTTATGACTCAAAAAGGCTGCATAACTTACCCAGTGGGCTTGTTTTCTTTTCTTGCATTAACTTCCTCTATCATGACACTTGTAGGTGGTAACTTATTCACCCCTAAAAACAAATAAAAATGCAATTTGATTTTAGTTCCAGGTGCTTATTTAGTGGGCAAAGGTGCTTTGCCACTGCTCATCTTTTGTTGCTAGTAACCATAACTCATCTGTTCTTCTGGCAAAACTGTCAGTAGCCCAAGTGGACAGGTGGAAAGCTCCTGGTAAAATGCCATCAGCTGAAAAGATAAGCATCTGTTCTTACTCATTATTTGATACTACAGGACCTCACAACTGGTGTGATGGAGTTTTGTCACTTAATGATAGAAGTTTTAAATTTTAATTGAACCAGTTGATTCAATCAAAATAACAGATAGACGTAGACACAGCTTATATATTTTGACACCTGAATTAACATTTTTGTGTCGATGACAGCACATATTTTGATAGTGTTATTCAGTAAAAAATAGAACAAATTCTGCTTTTACAGACTCTATTGTTTTAGATAGGAGATGGAGGTAGTCTCAACATTTTTAGTATTGAATCACATGGCAACCTGAAGACATATGCCCTGCTATTTCTGATGCACTTACCTTTCAGGACACGGACAGCCCATCGAGCTTGCATTTCTCCTGTAGGTATCATGGAACCCAAGGGTTTGATGAGGCCTATCACAGCCAGGGTTGGCTTTTGCAGATGAGCAGGGAAGATGTACTTGTATAGTGATGCCTGGCCAGCTTCAACTTTCAGTACAGACTCATCAAGGAAGGGGAAAGCAAAACTGTATCCAGTGGCAAAGACAATGATATCAATGGACTCTTCCTTTGCCGGGCTGTTAAATATGACGGAGCTTTCCTTCACTTCCTTTATGCTTGGCTTGATGGTCACTTTCCCAGTGATGATACGGCCTGGGAGCTCATCATTGAGCACAGGCTCTTTCAGTTGAGTCCTAAACAAACACACAATGGGAAAGATAACTGCCAGTGAACAATATAGTCAACTCTCCCTTCTCCTCCCTTCCACTCATCTTCATTCTGGAACTCTCCCCTTGGCTAGATAGGAGGTGCTCATCTTTGGATTGCTCATCTGCAATTTCCTTCATCAGATGATACCTCTGTAGGAAGGGATTCCTGAGTGTCCAAGAGGTCGTAGGAAACATTCTTCCCATTCACCAGAGTTTGGAAGTCTGAGAAGGGGGCCAGAGCTTTCTCCAGCTCCTGTTCCCTTGCTGAATTTCAGCATTCAGCTCTCACTGTCATTTCAGAGATAATTGAATGCTGAAGGAGCGCAAAGGAGACCAGGGGCTTCTATATCTGCAGAGAACTGCGAAAAGCCCTCTTCTCTTGGGAAGTAATTGTGCAAGGAAAAAATGATGTATTTAAAAGGGGTAAAGGCAAATTCTTATTTTTTTCTCACTATACCTTTGGAAGCACAAAACAAACATTATGATTTTAAATTATAAGAATTTAAATAAGTCACTTTGGCCTCTGGTGAATGTATCAAAAAAGTGTGATAAAATGTAAAGTCTGGAATAGGAGCTAATGAAGGTGGCTTCATTAGTGCAAATGTTTATAACAGAAATAGGGGAAGTCCCTATAGGCTTTCTTTTATTCATCTGTAAAATAAGGATGGGGGGCCTCCCTGATGTCCTAGGAGTTAAGTTTCAGAGAAATTACTACGAAGGCCTGAGTTCAATCACTGGCCAGGGAGATAACACACATAGGCACAGCACAGCAGACCTCTCCTGCTTTGCCCACTGCTCCCCTTAGACTGTATTTCAATGGATCTGCCTGTACTGCTTCCCACTCTGTCTCTAGTGAATCTTCTCACCACCCCATACCCCCAACCTCTGGCCTACACCCCAGTTCTTCTATACATAAATAAATAAATCTTAAAAAAATAAAATAAGGATATTAACACTTGTCCTCTTTAGTTCACTGGGTGGGATGAAGAGCATATGAAGCAGTGTATATATACAAGAACCTTGAAAATGATAAAGGATTAATAAATCAAAGAGAGAAGGGATTATATCACTTATTCTAAACTTTATGGGATTAAATCAAGCTCAAACACCATACAGGCTAGATAAGCCACCATACAGGCTAAATAAGGTTATCGTACAAAAGTCTCTGGTGGAATGAGAGGTCTGGAGTTAGGAGGCACATGAAGGTAGGTAAAAAGTAAGGGAGGAAAATGGAGCTATTAGAGGGAGAGGACAGCAGAGGTAAAGGAAGGTATTGGACAGAAGAAAAAGACCAAGAAGCAGCAGAAGTGCATGCAATTGGAAGTGGACTGTGAGCCATCAATGAAGACTGGGGTGCCACCTGACCATGTTGTTGCACAGTGAAATCTGGAGGAAGATCAGACAGGATCTCAGGCTATGGTGTGACCTGGCAATGGAAAGTCATAATATAAACTTGGCAAATGAATGAGGATGTAAAACTGTTGGTTCTTGTTAATGGGATAGGTTGTAGGTTACAACTGAAAGGACAGACTGAAGTCAAGGTCATCTCAACCAGGGAAAGAAAAGGCACTACCACTAGAGAGAGGGTGAAGGGCAACTATAGGATTCATTTTTTTCTCACACATGGAAGCACAGCAGGTATATTGCTTTTGTCAAGAGTCAAAGGAACCATTCTCTTTGGATTACTGCAGCTGAGGCCTAAATAAACTGCTAAGTTCACAGAGTTCAATTACCATTAAATGAGTTTGAGCAAGTCACTTTACTTCACTAGTTCAGTTTACTCACAGTAACCAGGAGATTGTAACAATACTTACTTTAAAGACCTGTCAACAAGGTAAAATACATAATTTCACATATCTGGTACTCAAAATAGTAACACAGTAACTACAATCAAGTAAATTTGTGAGACATTTTTCTTCATAGTCAATCATGCTGACATATTATTGCCTGTTTTATTTTATTTTGAAGATTTATTTCTTTATGCATACAAGAACTGGGTACAGGCCAGAGATGTGGGGGGTGAGAGGATTCACCAGAGACAGAGTGGGGAGCAGAACAGGCAGATTTACTGAAATACACCACTGAGAGGAGCAGCAGGTGAGTCGGGAGAGATCTGTTGCACCATGTGGGTAGCTTCCTGGCTGGGGATCGAACTCGTGCTGCAGTGACTGCTGTTAGCTTCATAGTGCTGCATCTTAACCCCTTGTGCCACCAGGGAGGCCCCTATTGTCTGCTTCATACATGGCACTGGAAGGACTGAGGCTTTTTCTTCCTAAAGCTCTCTGCAGATACCTTATATTTACCTGTTTTCGGGTACTAAGCCATAATTTTCATGATTGAACCTGCTGTTCATTTTTTTTTCTATCAACCAAGTCGCAATTGGAGTTGGGAGAGAATTTCTTAACAAGTTCTGAAACCGTGTCGTGAACACCATATCCCATGGATAACCTGAGTCAAAGACACGGCTTATCACCCAGGACCCTCCAGTGGTGCTGAGGAACACCTGCAAGTAATCAAACAGGTCACTCAGTTGGACACAGTGAACAGGTCTGGCCCTGCCAGATAGTTTAGAAGTTTCATGAATACCAAAAAGTCAGTGTCTTCTTTTTTTTAATTTTTATATATATATATATATATTTTTTTTTACATCATCGTTCATTTTAGAACAGTTTCCTCCCCCGCCTCCTTAGGTGTAGTCCCCATAGAATTTCCTTCACCAATGCACCCCTGCATCATCACCTCAGTCCCCTGTGCTCCTCCCTCCCTCTCTCTGATCCCTCTCCCTCCTCCTACCCTGCAGGATGCCTCTGGTTTATAATTAGTTTGTTTTTGTTTTGCCAAAAAGTCAGTTTCAAAGTACATCCCTGACAAGATAGCTTGGCTCTTTTTTTTTTAAAATTAATTTATTTTTATTCAAGTTCTGGGGTACGGGCCAGATGTGTGGGAGGGTGAGAGGATTCACCAGAGACATAGCGGGGAGCAGAACAGGCAGACAACAGAAATACACTGCTGAGGGGAGCAGCAGGAGCGACAGGAGAGGTCTGTGGCTCCATGTGGGATTCTCGCCAGCCGGCAGGGATCGAACCCACACTGTTGAGGCTGCAGACAGCTTCACAGCATGGTGCTCAACCTGTTGCGCCACTGGGGAGGCCCTAGTTAGGCTCTTCTAATGCCTATTTTAGAGTTTGTAGTTTGACAAAATGATCTCAGTATCAAGAGTGTTAAATGATTTAGGATACATTTGTTATCTGCCAGACTCAGTGCTAAACACAATATTTAATGTGTCAAGGCACAGCTAACTTAACTTCTCATGCGAGGAAACAATGAAAAGTTGACTTTGTGTAAGCTTACATTGTGTAGGCAATAAGAGTGGAAAAAGGCAGCAACTGAGAGTTATTAACAAAAGGTCTTAACACAAACCACTGTGGGGCTTGGTGGTGAAATTCAGTACCACAATTATTTTTGGTGTTTTGTTTTCAGATTATTTGGCTGTTTGTGTTTATCAACTGACTGAGTTCACTTAGCTAAATAGTTGTTTTAGTTCCTATACAAAAGGGAGTTTTCTGTATCAGTGGTAAAAAAACAAGAAACTTAGCTAGTCAATCTGTTATGTTGATGATATAAAACAACTGAATAATAGATGCCCCTCCACCCCCCTTTACAAATTAGGGTGTGGTGACCAATGTCGGCATTTTTGTTTGGTTGTATATATATCATAGTTAACATAATGGAGCAGCATGGTGGCATCTGAACTGTAAGTAAATCAACAATTCAGATATTAGAACCTGCCCCTCTGTGTCACATGTAACATTTAGTAGATATGAATTATGTTCTTCTTTACTGACAGGAGTTTCTTTGTTGATATAGAAACATAAGATGTACGCCAAAACATGTTTTCTGATTCAAGAAATGTCCAAACAATTAGAGAAATAGAAATTATAATATTCCACCCGCACATGGTGGCTAATGATGACAAAACTGTGTCCATTTTTATTTCAGGACTTCCTTTCCTCTTCCTTTAGGAGAATTCCACCAAATTGTTAAGTCTCTCTAAATCAATGACTCAATCAATCAATGAATCAACTCAATTGTTAAGTCCTTTTTCAAAAATCCCAGAAAGGATACTCAAATTTACACACCTCCAATCCTTTTTCTTTGGAGCTATTTTCACTCTTGCAATTATTTATCTAATTATTTAAATTTATTTACTTGACATCTATTGTCCCTATGATTAATATCCTCCATGAGAGTGGAGAATCTTGTTTTTATTGTGTGTCTTCCAGTGTATCCCCAGTGCCTGGCCCAACATTCAGCACCTCAGAAGCCAACAACTAATATATATTTGTTGGATGAGTAATACTCATAGATTGAAGGAAAATGTATTTTATAAAAGGCAATTAGCAATACTAAGAATTAAAAAGTGTCAACCTAGGAGTGTAAATTGCAATTATTGTATACATTTGTACATTCTTACATGAAGAGGTCACTTTGTCTTGGAATGAGAGAGCCTGGAATGTAAATGTAAACTGTAGTAAAAAATAAAAGAACACTGAAGGGGGAGGGGCATGGTGAGCAAAGGGATGCACAGAGACACTGGAATTAGAAAGGGTGTGGAGTAGACCTGTTAGGCTGCATTTAATGACCATGCAGTAAAGTAGTTGGGCTAGAGTTAAGACCACAGATTTGGGTCAGATCATGGAGAACCCTTTAAATAGGGCTAGTGTACCTGCAATTTATTACTTTTTTTTTTTAAGATTTATTTATTTATACAAGACCTAGGGTACAGGCCAAATGTGCAGGAGGGTGAGAGGATTCACCAGAGACAGAGCGGGGAACAGAACAGACAGACTGATGAAATACACTGCTGAGGGGAGCAGCGGGTGAGACAGGAGAAGTCTGCTGTGCAATGTGGGTTTCTCCCTGGCTGGCCAGGGATTGAACCTGTGCTGCAGAGGCTGTGGACAGCCTCATAGTGCGGTGCTCAACTGCCTGCACCACCAGGGAGGTCCAATTTATTACTTTTTTAAGGCAAGGGGAAATATAAGTTTTAAAATACAGTGTTACGTAAGAGTAAGTTTTTTAGATGTTTTTGTTGGCAGTTGGGGTTCTGGATGGCTTGTTTGATATGGGAAGATGGGTTGGGGTATAAGAATGCAGGGCAGAATTAGGAGTAGGGCCTTGAATCAAAGAGACTTGGAGTGAAGATTGGTTTTACCACCTGCTAGTGGTACAACATCAGGCAGGTAACTAAACATCTCCATGCCTTAATTTCTTCATCTGTAGTGAAGGATAGCAACTGTTCCTATTTTACTAGCTTATTTGGTGATTGGTTGATGTAATCCCATCAAACATTAGGTGCAATGCTTGATAGAGCGTAAACCCCAATAAGATATTAACTATTTCTATAATTTTTATTAGGAGAAAAATACAATAAGCCTCAGTATGAGGTAATATGGACTTGATGAGGGTGATCACAATTCACAAGAAAGAAGGTAGCAAGTGGGAGACCTTAGTAAGGGAAAATAGATATGATTTTCTGAACTATATGACTGGGTCAAAAACAAGATGTCTCTTGTTGGATGATTGGGAAAATGACAAAAACAAGAAGAGAAATTGATTTTGGATGACACCTGTAATGACAGTAAAATTTATAATAATTTAAGAAAAAAATACTTAAAAATTTTTGTGCTTGCATGCATTTTAGGCACTTTTATTCTTGTCATCTTTTATCACTGTGTTAAACATGGTTTCTCTGAGGCATGCATCTTAAGAAAAAGTTCTTTACTACATAACATCAATAATGGTACCTTCTTTGCCACGTGGCTGGCCTCCACAGCAATATCTGTGCCAGAATTTCCCATTCCAACCACAAGAACTCGCTTGTCCTTAAATATATCTGGATATTTATACTGTCTGCTGTGAAAGTATTGGCCTTTAAAGTTTTTTATACCTGTGGAAAAAATAAATCAAATAGGGAATTTAGAAGATCAATGAATGAACATGAGACATAAGTACTGTTCAGTTAATAACACCCTTTAGATGGATAATTTAGGTTGTTTTAAATAGTATACTCAATTTTAAGAAAATCTGAAATATGAATACATAACTTTACAAGATAATGAAATTAATGAGTGATTGTTTATTTAACAGCCGTGTTTATTCCATCTCACTAGGTCAGCCTCTTGTTTTACTTACTAAGTGATGAACTAGTAGTTGAATATTGTGGTACAAAGACTTAAGCAAAAGTGTAAGAGGTCATGACCATCTGAAGGTTGTTAGAAACCAATGAGATAACAACATTTTAATTACTAATATTTGATTTACAGAGAACTTTTCAAAGGAGCAAGAACAAAGCTGTGGGTTGATGTCTCTATTTGGCAAACTTATTTCGTCACCTGCTATGTCAAGATGATATTGGGGAAATAAGATAAATAAAATGTGGTTCTGATCAGTAAAGGACTATGTGGGTGGGGAATTTCACACTTCACCTTGGTGATCAACTGTAATTCAGGCTGAATTTTGCTGAGTCAGACAGAATTGGCCCGGAGAGAAAGGAATTATGTTAGTTATATTGGGATTAGATGTACTGTTCTAAGTATTAATAACTTGGATAATTTTAGCAGTTAATACCACATCTCAATAAAATATCAAACAGGAATAGAAAGTTGTGGTGAATACTCTTATGGTTGCATGGCAGTCTAACACACACTCCACAAAGAAACTGTTTTCCCAATCCTTCCCCTGGAGAAAAGGTGATAGAACATCCAGATTCTCAGGGAATAAATATGGGGGTTTATGGCAAAATAACCTTAACAAAGCCTGGTAGCTTGCCTTAAATCATTAGAAATCTGATGTGAATCCCAGTTAAAACCCAGCCACAATGTAGAGCATATAGATTTTAACAATGAGTTAAGTAAGTTTAAAAGTTTAAATAGTAGCTCAACATGGGGACCCAATATGGATCTGATCAATGTAAAAGAAACTGAGATGCAAAGGTGTTTTAACTTGCCTCGAAAGTCTCATCTCCTTGTTGACTATTGACCCAGTGCCATAAATCTCTCACCAAGTAATTTCTATGACTCACATGTATCAGATCAAGTTGACTTTTCCTTTATGCACTGACTGGACTTTGTTACTCCTCAGGTCAACTAGGGCTATGTGCGACTGCTGAGGCCCACAACTGTCTAAGAATTCTGTGAATTATAAGGCCTTCTGAGTGCTGCCTTTGCTGAAGGAGAGACATCGAACCTTAGACTGCTTATTGCTTGTTTTTTTTTTTTTTAAAAGATTTATATATATATATATATGCATACAAGAACTGGGGTGCAGGCCAGAAGTGCAGCATGGGGGGCATGAGAGGATTCACCCTAGACAGAGTGGGGAACAGAACAGGCAGATTGACTGAAACACACTGCTGAGGGGAGCAGCAGGCAAGAGAGGAGAGATCTGCTGTGTCCTGTGGGCTAGCTGCCTGGCAGCGGCTCAAACTTATGCTGCAGTGGCTGGCAATAGCTCAATAGCACTGACACTTCAACCCCTGTGCCACCAGGGAGGCCTCTTATTATTTATTATTTATATTCTTTGGTTTTCATAGCTTGTTTGGAACAAAGGACAGTCAAAATTTAACCAGGAACTTCTGGCTAGAAAAACACCCTCAAGAGGATGGTGGCTGGAGCAGGATGGTGGCTGGAGCAGGTCTCTGAGATGGGCAGCATGGCCCATGCTGCTCTGAAGCCTCCACTTGTTGGCCAGGGAACTATCAGCTCCAGCCAGCCTCTATCACAAGAAAGCTGTTGATCATTATGGAAGTCCTAGAAATTTGGGTTTCCTTGATATGAAATCTAAAAATATGGGAACTGGATTAGTGGGGGTTCCAGCATGTGGTGGTGGTATGAATTTTCAGATTCAAGAGTATGAGAAAGGGGAGACTGAGGATGCCAGGCTTAAAATACATGGCTGTGATTCCTCACCTGCCTCAAGTTCATTGGACACCAAATGGATCAAAGAGAAGGTGGAGGAAGGCTTGTCTATCAGAAATCAATATCGCCAAGAAACTTTGTGTTCCTTCTATGAGACTGCACGGCTTTATGCTGACTGAAGATGCAATCAAGGCTACCCTGAAGCAAGAACCCAAGAAAAGAGGCAGGAAAGGAAGGAGGAGTCTTTGGAGAAGTCGTCCTATTTGTCCAGCCTGCTGCAATCACCTAGATATTCAAAAGTTTTGAATTGTGTGTCTGACCTCAAAATTGAGAAATCAATAATGATGTCTCAAGTTTTGATAGTCCATGAAGGTCACATATATTTAATTTTATAGCTGAATCTATTTTGGGGACAAATACCAGTAGAAGTTTTGGTATGATTATTTGATGGAACTGGTTATTGTATATAGAGATTTGCATATATGTAATAAATAAATGTGTGTGGGGGGAAGCAAAATCTATTACCTCTTAAAGTTTAACTATTCAATGATGGTACCATAGGAATTCATCCCTAGACCAATCAAATGTTATGATGACACCCATGGGATAAATTAAGGTCAATTGCAGAAAATGCTGTACCTGGAAAGCAGTCCAGGGGCAATTTGGGGTCAGTAAGAAAGCCAGTGCAGACCATGACGGCGTCAAAGATGGCAGACTCTTGCTTCCCCTCTCGCAGAGTGACCACCTCCCATTGGCCGGTGACAGCAAAATCTGGGCATTTGTTTACACTGCAGACTTTAGTCTGGAAAAGGAACCATAGCCTTTGGTTAACGTTGTCAAGTTTCCAGTTAATGCTTACTGGCTGATGTGGCAATTGACATTACAAATGTTCTAGAGCACAGAAAATAAGCATAACCCCTGTAAATCAAATTGGACTATCAGATTAATCATAATGTCCTGGGAGGAAATAGTCTAAATTTAGTGCTTTAGAGAGGTATTTAAGAGAGATGATGAAATCCAAATATTTTGTTATTTGTGCAAATTCTCACTGTAAGCAAAAGAACTAAGATTATAACTATGTTTTCTGATGTCTTTTTTTCATTTTTCTTTCTGTTACATATACTTATTTCCTATAGAGCTATCTCTATGAGAGACAGTTCCCTCTAGTAAAGACCTGGATAAAACATAATTGAAACTATAAACTTGGTCCTAAGTATTTTAGTTCATGAAAGTTCTTTTACAATATATTGCGAAAGATTTTCCAGATCACGAGAGTCATTTGAAAATACTAACTTTACAGCCCGAATTTTTGGGGGGTATTTCAAATTTCAAATAATCTTTTTTTTTTTTTAATATTTATTTATACAAGCACTGGGTACAGTAAGAAGCGCAGGAGGGTGAGAGAACTCACCAGAGACAGAGCGGGGAACAGAACAGGCAGATAGATGAAATACACTGCTGAGGGGAGCAGCAGGTGCGGCAGGAGAGGTCTGCGCGCTATGTGGGACCTTCTCTGGCGCCAGCGCTGCAGAGGCTGCAGGCAGCTTCGCAGCCCAGTGCTCAACCACTGCGCCACCAGGGGAGGCCCTAAATAATCTATTTTTGAGCACTAGTCCATGAGTACTAAGTTCTGTTTTAGAAAATATGTAAAATAAATTTACACATCAAATTTAAAAGCATAAATAATTCAGTGATCAAGAGACTTTGTTACCTTTCCATTTTAGTTTTCAAAGAAGTTTCTTATTCTAATGGTCTAATGGGTTCACTGATTTACATATTTGAATTGCTTGTTGAGTTTTTGCATTTGTTTTAGTAGCTGCCTTTTTAAAATATAACTTTTCAATTAATTAAAAACCTTTCAAAATAAGTTTATTTTTATCTTAAAATAACCAATGTTCATTGAAAATCTGGAATGCATAGAGAGGAAGGAAAAACAAAACCTCTCACAAACAGCTGATATCTGTACTTAAATTTTTTGTGAAAAACTTGCTTGTTTAAAACTGTTTTAAAAAATGGACTTAGACAGCCTGTAGTAAAGGAAATGCTTCAGATTCAGAAGTTTCAATGCATTAAATAGATTTCTCTGGACATATGCATTCACTATGATAATGTCTAACTTTACCATGTTCCCTACAAAATAAGGAAGCATGAAGTGCTCCTTGGAAAACTGATCTACAGTGTTTCCTCCCCTAGTTTCATTGAGATTTAATTGACCTATAAAATTGTATACATTTAAGGAATACACCATTGTGATTTAATTTAATTTAAGTAGGAATTGCAAAATGATCCTCACAATAAGCTTAGTTAACATCCATTACTACACAACTGCACATTTTTTTTTTCTTGTGATGAGGATTTTAAAGATCTCTTTCCAACATCATTCAAATATACAAGCCAGTATTGTGAGCTAGAGTCACCATGCCATAAATTGTATCTTTAGAACTTATAAGTTCTGATAGATAAGAACTTCTCTTATATAACATATAACTTACATAACTTATGTAAGATAACTCCAGTTTAAGATAACTTTAATTCCCTTTTTTGATCCCCCTTCACCCATCCCCCCATTCTCTCCTGTCCACCTCGGCAACTACCATTCTGTTGTCTCTTCCCACCTCTCCACCCCCCTACCCCCCTAGATTCTACATATAAGAGAGATCATGGAGCATTTGTTTTATCTTCAGTCCTTATATTACTTAGCATAATACCCTCAAGGTCCATCCATATAACTGCAAATGCCAGGATTTCTTTCTTCTTTTTATGACTAAATAATATTCAATTATATCAATATACCACATGTTCTTTATCCAGTCACCTGTCAATGGACATGAGCCTGTTTATATATCTTGACCCTTGTAAAAATGCTGCAACAAACCTGGGGGTGCAGATGCCTCTTCAAGACAGTGATTTGATTTTGATCAGTATCTTTATAGTTGTGTGAATCTTATCTATAACTTGTTTTGATCAGTCTTTCCATCCATATGTCTCTGTATGATTCCCTATGAATTCCTTACCCTCCCCGTCTCTGCTAGGGAGGGATATAGAAGGAAATACATGGATTTTCATGATTCTTGGAGAGGAGAAAAAAGTGCAAAAGCAAATAAACAAACAAATAAATGACCAGAGGAGGAAGAGGACATAGTCATTTGCCCTATCCTTTTACCTCTTCCCTATCATTTTATCCTCTGAAATGGGAAGGGCTGAGGTAGGACCTAAAAAAACAATATGCAAAGATTTTTCTTTTCCCAAATATATTAGAGATTTTCCTCCAACAGCAAGGTTCTCTTGTGTTTGGGCTGTTGCACACATGGAGAGATAGGCAGGAAGAAAGTAGAGGGGACTGATGAGAGTTCCCAGTGTCCCCATGTGCAGTCATTTGGCCCTGTTTAAGGGGCTTGCTGTTTTTTAGGTCTCTTAGGATTCTTGGATAGGAGTTTTGCAAACTAGGAATGTACCCTTGTATTCTTACACCAAGCATTCCTCTCTACCTCTAGATTTACTCAAGGTGGAGGAAAATACAAAGAGAAAAGGAATCTTTACAGGAGTCACGAATGTTGCCAATTCATTATCTCCTCTACAGAGACCAGGGTGAGGCTACAGAAAAATAATAGAAAATAGGTAGGAAATGTTTTCTGACTACTAGCTGAAATTTTGTGTCTTACCTTGAATTGAATGCATTTCAGAAGGTTGAACTGGTTTGCATACATTTTGAGATATTCCAGGAAGTAGGAATTTGGAACATAATTTGGAAAATCTTCTGGGAATGGGAAGTCTGAATAACAAGACATCTCCTTGCAGCTGTTGGAAACCACAGACTTGTAGAGACTGGCTCTGCCTTCTTCCACATATTCCTGTACAAACAGGGCATGCACACGAGTGAAGATGTGTGTGCACATGAAATTAATATTAATTTTTAGATGTTTCAAACATTGCCCAAGATTAAGATGACCCAGATGATGTACAATGTCACCTTTCTAATGGAATTTGCTATCTTTTCCTTGAAAGATGATGAACATTGTATTCCACTATGAATGTCATGATCTGAATTACAGTTTTATCCATTACATACTAATAAATATACCTTGGATAAACTCACCTGTCCAGATTAACACTATAATCAATGCAAAATATAGGAGAATATGGAAATAGACAAAACCAGGACATAGTATTTGGGTGGTGAACAATTACTAGGTACTTTGGTTTCTTGGGATGCTGTTGAAAGGATTATGGAGAAGGGGGTTCAGATTATTAAAGAGTTTTTTAAATCTAAAGTTAAAATGGTGTGTTTCTGAATGGAAGTGATTTTTAAGTGGAAGTGATTCCACTTTTGGAAATTTTGGAAAGATAATTCTGGTTTCACATAAAGTTATACAAGGCTCTGGGTAAGTAAGTAAGCTAGTTAAGAACCTAAGCCACATGAGCCTCCCCTGGTGGCGCAGCAGTTGAGCGCTGGGCTGCGAAGCTGCCCGCAGCCTCTGCAGCACTTGTTCAATCCCCGGCCACTGGTGAGGGTCCCACATGGCGAGCAGACCTCTCCTGCCACGCAGACCTCTCCTGCCACGCCTGCTGCTCCCCTCAGCAGTGTATTTCATCAGTCTGTCTGTTCTGTTCCCCGCTCTGGCTATGGTGAATTCTCTCACCCTCCCATGCTTCTGACTGTACCCAGTGCGTGTATAAATAAATAAATAAATAAATAAATCTTTAAAAAAAAAAAAAAAAAAAAAAAGAACCTAAGCCAGTTTCCACTTGACTGCTAATAAAGCCTGAGCAGAAGCACTGGCAGTTGAAAGTGAGAGAAGTGGGATTTGGGATTTGGGTGAGGAATCAGGCCAAAGGTTTCCAGAGTGTGGTGAAATACCAACCAACTTCCCATCCCCAGTTTTAACTGAAAAAAAAAAAAAAAAAAAACCAACAGCAAATAACCACATCTAAGATGACTATTCAAGGTCAAATAAGTAATAGTTTTAATAATGTCTTTATATGCATTGCCACAGCAAATAACCACATCTAAGATGACTATTCAAGGTCAAATAAGTAATAGTTTTAATAATGTCTTAATATGCATTGCCTCTCTTTGGTATATATTATGGATTTCAGTGGGAAAGTCCTTAGTATTTTAATATTATTTACCATTTTGGATATGTATAGTTGCATTTTTTTTCTATGAAACAAACATTATTTGTGTAAACAAGCAGAAAATGAACATGAATGTCATGAAATGATCTGCATAACATATAATAATCACACAGAATACAATTATAAGGATAATGTCTTGTGGCCATATTATTGGATAGTAGAGGTTTAGAACATCCTTAAACTTGAATCCAGGTGTTAGGACTAAAGTTAGTGTTGGTTTGATAATTAAGAGTAATCTGGTATTCTCTGCATTATAAGAAAAAAGAGTAAAGGAATAGCAGTAAAGATCTGTAATATTGAGAAGTAAAAGGAAGCAGTGGGAGAATAAACTATAGTATAAGGAGAAAAACATCAGTTATGAATAGTTTGGGGTCAATGTTTGGCCAAAGCTCCCTCACTTTTCTCTGTTATCTGAAAGCATCTCATGTTAAGAAAACTTTTGTTAAAATAGTCAGTTTCTTTTTTGCAGTAAAAATGTAAAATTTGTTTAAGAGGGGTAGAGATATACATAATACATGTTGTAAAGATTTCAAAAATTTGAAGCATTTTGTAATGGCAAGTTCACATATTAAAGAGTAATGAGGATTCAAGATAACCTAGGGAACTGTGTATTTTATGCAACATTGAAACATGGGTTCAAACAAGCAAAAGTAGGGGGATAAAAATTCTAACAGCTCATGAAGTGGAAAGGGTTTTATGCAAAGGAAATTTTGCTAAACATTTTAAACAATTGAGGAAGGGATATATTGTATGAGTTGGTTGTATTATGAAGCAAATATTTTAATTGTTATCTTTTTGTATTGCAAGAAATTTCTTGGTCAGATTTTGGTGTACATAATAGAGAACATTCAAATTGTTAGTCTTAGCTGACTATCAGTATTTTGTTAATAAGTGAGCAAATGTATTTTTAGTGATTCATTTGGTGACATTTTATTTATAAAAACTTGTCAGTAAAATCTGGGTATAAATAATATATATTGTTTAACTTAGAAAATTAATTGTAAGTTCTGTGACATACTCTTTTTGGGTTTTACCCTAATTGAAGATACAAATGTAAGTCTACACATGCCATTTCATGATAAAATTTTAAAATTTGTTCATTAAATCATGTTTGATGTAAGAATGAAGTCACTCAGGAAGTTAAATATCTCTAAATCTATTTTTTTACATTAAAAACACAGTGTAACTTCCCCCTTTTCAGGAAGAAAAAAAATTCATAGATAAAATAGTAAAATGTTTTACTGAAAGTATACCTTTTTGGGGAAAAAGTTTTCTTCATATAGGTAAAAAGGTTCTTGAAGACCGTTGAGTGCTGCCTCTGTTGTTCAAACTTTAAAAGTTTTAACATTTTCTAAGCTTAGAACATGTGTATAAGGACACATTTTACTATGGCAATTGTACAGGTTGCTTTTTTGTTTAAACCTTTGAAAGAATTAAAACTTTTTCTGATTCACTTTTATCTATCAAGATACTGTTTCCCTTTCATTATAAAAGTTGTATGTGAAAGTTCAAAAAAAAAAAAAAAACTCAGCTCTATTTTGAAAAACTTTGGAAGATAATTGTAAAGGCACCGAGAAGAAAGGCTTCCAGGAAATGCTGAAGGCGATTGTGAAATAATGTATCACAGATGTTAGTCAATGAGTAACTGTAGCTTAGAGTGGAAACTTAGGTTTTAGGGTGGAATCCAAGATCACTTCTACTCTTTTCTCTCTTTCCTCCTACTGGTTGTTTCTTCTGGAAAAAGACGAGGCCTGTATTGTGCAGCATACACACAGAGAATGTGGGGTCCACCACTCTTGTCAATGGTGTTAGCAGGTCCTGGACCCTCCCTGCAGAGTTTGCTCCAGTGATTGCCAGACCCTGCTGAGACCCCGGTTGTCGGCATTCTTGACATGAACTTGTGCAGATCTGCCAATTGCCCTAGTACTCTGAGTGTGAAAGCCCATTCCTCCTGAGAATTGATGGGGAAAGATAATGGCCTTGGAGGGGAAAAGGAATGGGCAGGAAGAAGGAATGGATTGTGGAGAGAGGGAAAGGAATCAGAGAGGTATTAATTTCAAGGGACAGGACAATCTCTCACATTTATGGTTCAAGTATTCCTTTACAGTGGAAATGATCAACCTGTACAGTACTAAGTCACCTTCCATCATCAGGCCTGAGGGAGTTGGTTGCAGAACAGATGTTCCATACAAACAGATGTTCCTCATATACCACCCGTGCCACTTGAATTGGTCATCAGACATGAGTTCTTTATCAGAGCATCCCTTTTCCCTTTAAGGGCTCACCCTCTCCTCTGCCCCAATGAATGATGGTCTTTCTTTTTCATTGTCACTTTTGTCTCTTTCCTTTTTAAAGCTGTGGTAGCTGCAAGAGACCCAAGTCATGACCTCGTGGTTGTCAAATGAAATGCAGTTTGTTAGCATCTTTATGATCTTTGGGGCACCTTTGTATTTGCAAATGGAAACTGCCTCCATTTGTGCTTTCTTGGGTTTCTGCAGTTTACCTAACTATTTTTGCAAAATGGTCCCTTTTGTCCAGAACAAGCAACAAGGATTGCCCCTGATCTTACCACCACCCCCCCCCCACTCCCAACATACACTATCCAGCAAGTACAGTCCTTACTAAAGCAGAATCAATTCTGTGGGCTTGAAATGGACCCACAGAAGTGCAAAGACACCTCTAACTATCCTTTTGTGGTATGTGTGGGTGTTGGGGTAGGAGGGTCAAGGGATATCTATAGAAAGACAAGAGACTTACAGCATATTAGAACTGGAAGTCCCCTTTATGTTCAGCTGATTTGGATTTTCTGAGCAGGAGTCACATCTAGTGAGACCACTGTGTCTAGAGAGGGCTGTACAGTGAAGGTGGGGTTGGTATTTCCTGCTTTGCAGCCCCCCAGTAATTCAAATTTTTTCCAAACTGGTTGCATGTTCTCATTTTATAAATGAGGTAATGGGGGTGATATGATGTGTGAATTGGACTGTATTTTATCTTGGCTACTGCTGCATGACCCTCCTACTCATCCTTTGGGGCTCCTATCACACTCCTTGTAATATTTTTTCATGTTTCTCTCCTCATATTCATCCTCATCCCCACTCCCTTTCCATTCTCCTTGGATGGATTTTCCTAAAAGAATCAAGTCCTCTGACATGCATGCTTCTCCCTTTTTTTCTTCCCACCTCAAATTTCTTTTCTGCTTCCTTTTCTTTTTTCTTTCCTTCCGGTCTTGAAGGTGTCTCTCCATTTTTCAAGATGAACCCTTCCACTTGGACCTACAATTCCACTCCTTCTTTTTCCTACCATATACCTGTTCCAATTTGGGGTTATATATTTAATAGTTTCCACCTTCCAGCTATTTTCTCTATTTGAGTCTCTCTATTTGAGTCTTCCCAGCATGCAAACAAAACAAACATAACAATAAGACATCTTAATTCTGTTCCTCATTATCCATTGCTTTCTATGTTAGGTGTGAATCCCTTGGCAAAATGTTCAGCCACCTCCCTCACCCCCATTATTTCTCTTACATGGACCTCACATAATAATAAACTATTTGCTATTTTTGTTTTCCAGGCATGGTCAGTACTTTTTAATGCTGGTTCCCTCCTTGGTATCTCCCACTCACTCCTTCTGCATATTGAAATCCTTCAAAGTCCATCACATGCCATCTTTTCCATGAAGGCTTCTTTGACTTTCCTGAAGAGGATGTATTCCTGACCTCACTTAAATGCCCTTATCTCTGTTTCTGACTTTTCCCCTGAGTCTGACAGCTCTCTGAGGGCAATCTTGTATCTCAGTTTTATATGTCTAACAGTGCTTTGTGCCTTGATATTTTAACCTGCTCAAATCACACAACCAGTTGTGCACAGCTAGATCTAGAACTCATTTCTCTTTATCCTTAGGCCAATGATATTTTAGTGTTTATAATGAGGTGTCTTTGATCTGTGTGAGGAACATTTTTCTCTGGTATCTCAAGGTCTCTGGACTCACTTTTTGCTTTCACTGAGTTTACTTTAAACCAAATAACTTTGAATTACTCCTCTAATTAGACAGTTCCTTCTTGTAAGCTAACCCTCAACTCTGATGCACAAGCACTAGCTTGTGTGGAGTATTGACTGTGTTAAGGAGTCTGAGGTTCACCAAAGGAGAGTATCAAGCTCAAGTAGCAATGTCCTCACTGGACAGAGGAGGCAGAGCTTGGGTATGGGTGTCGGCTTTCTGCTCTCCTATTAGAACACAGCAATTTGAATCTTAGGAGCAGATGTGCTCTTTCACCTAGTTTCTCCAGGGAGGTCTCTGCTTTGATGGTCACATTTGGTGGTTGGACACATTTCAAGATATGCAGTTCTTCTTTGCATGAGCTATGCTGGGAGAAATATGGCTAAATTAGCAATTTTGACCTCTTTGAGGCGTTGCTTACCGAGTTAGAAAACAATTACTTTCCTCTAGTTTGAAATCCTACCGTTCTGTAGGGAGGAATGCTATGTATTTTTCTTAGCCTCTTAGGGGCTCTGAAGCCAGGAATCTGACACCTTGCTCCTTTTTACTGTCCCTGACAGTGTCTCCTCAGCACATCTGAAGCTAATGCCCTCCTGAGAAAGATGAAAATAGAAGTTTGGGGAGACCTGATGCAGATACTTCCCCGACTGAGCCCTGGAGCTCACAGAACACTTCACTGCTTTGCTGCAGGGTTTCAGTGGCCTCAGGCAGGGCACCTGTGGTGTCTTCCCCTGTTCATGCACCCTGGCTTTATAGGTTTATATCCAGAATGGTCTTAATACTTCCCTCTCCTTCCTCCTCACCCCATTCCCTTCTCAAATGTGGACAACAGTCCTGTTGAGATATGAGAATTCAATTGCTATTTTGCTTAAAGAACAATCCCCTCCCCCCAGATTTTTAAACTTGTTTTGGTCATGGAGGGATTGCCTGACAGTGGGGTCTTGAGTATAGAGCTCATCCTACCCTAGTCCTGGGTCATTTTACTGCAGACAAAGCATGGCTGGAAAAAGAAGCAGGTACAAGCAGCTCAGCGGTGCAGGCAGAGGCTGACATTTCTGTTCTGTTTTGGCACTTTTGCTCCAAACACAGCAGTCTTGCCCTGCTTTAGAACCCCCTGCTCTTGCTCCTCTTATCCTGGACTTTCTTAGCTTGTCCAGCCACTCCATCTTCTGCCAACCTTTGTGAGTATTTTTGGAAGCATTTCTTCCTGGTGGTGCTGGATAAAGTTTGTGAGGCAGCTGACAGGACTCCAGCCCAAACTCGGACTGTTTCTTTAATCAGTTTTACTGGCCCTTCAGATCCTCCCATTAGCAGACATTTCTAGCCCCTCCCCACAGCAACCAGCCTTGGTGGAAGAAATTTGTTTCTCTTTCACTGGCCAAATGCTTTTACCCTATAGCCCCAGAACAAAGCTGTTGAAACCCCACTTACAGTGAATCTCCACAGCCCCCCAAGGTCGTCGCTCCTCTCAAAGCAGGTGGGCTCTAGTCCTTCCTCCAGACAGCACTTAATAGAAGCCAGGCCGCTGACTCCGGCCCCCACGATTGCAACTCGCTTGGCCATGTTCTCCTGTGTGGGGAAAATGTAGAGGAGCTTTTATTCACATGTGAAAGCCCCACCCCATCCTTGGCTGCTCTACAAACAAGGAGAAAGAATTTGGACACCGAAGAATTCATTCCCCTTGAGTCCCCTGTAGCTGGTCTCTAGTTTGTGAATGTGAGAGAGGAAACGCTGGGCTTGCTGTTTTAACCCTGTGCTTATGTATGTTCCCCGCCCCCACCAACTCGGAGCTGGTGCCAAATGTCAGTACAGTTAACAAGATCATGGCTTCTGGCAGGGTGGCTGAAATTGGATCCTATAGTAAGTAGACAGAATTTTGCGTTCTGAACCATGATGCCTCCAGTTTCCCTTCACTAACCTCAGAACAGAATTAAATAGAGTGGCAGACCAAAAAAGGATCACCTTGGTAAACACCTTTTTTTTTTTTAATGAGCATGTGCAACTGAAGTTCAAATGGATGATATGACACAAGGCCACACAACAGCTGGTGGGTGGATTTGGGGTGAAGAGCCAAGACAGTGTGGCCACCACAGGTGTTGCTGTGACAGCACCATAGGTGAATCCCAGTGCAGTCATTTTGCCAGAACTTGCTCTCTGGTGTCTTGCCCTCTCACCTGCTACCATGGGCTGGTATCAGTGCAAGAGAGAGAGGGTGGCTACCTGTGAGGGTGTGTGGTGGAAATGTAGGCATGGAAAGCCATCCCTCCTCCCTCTATGGGATAATGAATCACCTCCAGGGAACATGGCAAGGTCTACTTAGGCACAGGTGAGGAATCAGCTGGCCCCAGGCCACAAAAGTCAATATAATGCCCCTAAAGTCAATATAGTGTATCTGGTAAGCGAGCCAGTGTTGAGCCACACTACCTGATTGAAAGCCTAGCTCTGTCACTTACTGCTGCGTCATCTTGGGCAAGTTATTTAAGCCATCCATGTATCATAAAAAGGCAGTGTTTTGTGAGCAGCAAGTGAGTTAACACATGTCAATTGGCTTGGAACAGATCCTGGCACACAGAAAATGCTCAATAAATGCAAGCTATTATAACTATATAAACAGTTTCCCAAATTGGCTCCCTCTTCTTCCTTTCCCATCAATGAGCCTCTGTATTTAATCTTATATACAAACATTTTTCCAAATTGGCATCCTCTTCTGCCTTTCATAGTGAGCCTCTGCATTTAATCTTATATCATTTTCAATGAAAAAAAAAGTTAATCGAACAAGTATTTGCTTGGAGCCAATATCCTGGGTTAGAGCAAATATTTGCTGGTAACTAATATTCCTCAAAATGACTTCTTATCAAATGTGCAATAAACAGAAATCTCTTCTCCAGGCTACCACAGTAACTTAACGTGGACCAGATATAGCTAACCTTATTTTTGAGCAGTAGCTCTCCCTGGAGCTTTTCCTAGGACCGCAGGGAAGTTTCAATTCAGATGACTGGGTGTTCAGTGTTGACTAATTACTAGGGGTGTGATTTTAGACAAGTAACTTGCTTTTGTGTCTCAGTTTCTTTTCTTTTCTTTTTTTAAAATATTTTATTTATTTATACAATAACTGGGGTACAAGTCAGAGGTGCAGGAGGGTGAGAGGATTCACCATAGACAGAGGGGGGAGCAGAACAGCACAGTGGACTGAAGACATTGTTGAGGGGAGCAGCGGGCAAGGCAGGGGAGGTCTGCCACTCCATGTGGGTTTCTCCCTGGCCAGCCGGGAATCAAACCTGTGCTGCAGAGGCTGTGGATGGCTTCACAGTGTGGTGCTCAACCCACTGCACCACTGGGGAGGCCCTTGTGCCTCAGTTTCTTCCTCTCCAAAACTAAGTTGGAAGAACCAACTGTTGTCAGAATAAATCAAGTAATATATAAAAAACATTTAGCACAGTCCTTGGCATGTATGTTATTTTCACTTTGGAAGATTTTTCTTTAATCTCACGGTTTTATGGATATCTACCTGGCAATTTGGGGTTTACTTACAGAGACAAAGTTACAGAATATTTGGAATAAATGCCATTCAGGTAAACTAGAAACATGCCCCTAAAGGTTGCATAGTAGTAAGTGAATGAAATTCGTGAGGAAATATAAGAATAATGATGACAGAAGGGGAAAGAGAAAAAAGGAGGGCACAAAACAGCTTTCAGAGCCACCCTTAAATGCTTTATTAGTGTTTTGGTTCATCATCATTTGGTGTGTCACCAAAGTCTCAGTTGAGTTGTACCCACATTTGCAAAAGCACACAAAGTAAATACTGCCTTTACATGCTGACAAAATTAGTGCTGCCAGCCACTTGTTCATGTACTGGTAATTACAGGAAACCAATGTGTCTTTTCTTTCAATCTCTATGGGGCTTGTGATGGGGTTTTGGAAGAAGTAAAATTTATGACATACTTTACGTTATGTCTCTGAACCAATATATGTGTCATGGAGATAACTTGATATTTTTAGTTTAAAGGAAAAGAAAAAAATAGGAAACCAAAGTGATTTAACAATTAAAAAAAAGCTTTTTAGAAAAAGGTTTTGTTCTCTCTTATTTTAACTCAGTCATTTCCAGTCAGTGACTGCTATATTTTCAGACAGAGTGATTGATAACACCATAGGAAGTTGTGTTAAGGTGAAAAGTTCACTAATGCCACTGATTATTACAGGAGTGTTATTTTACCCGCTAATGCGAAAATAACACTTAAACATGTTATTGCTCCTTATGTGAATATTCAATAAAAAAAATTGGTCATTCCTTTATTGGAAAGTTTTAAAGCAATGTAACTATCAACATCATCATCTTAATGAAGAATATCTGACTAAATACGAAGAAATAAGTAATAAAAACTAAGTGAATAGGACTAAGTTAGTAAGGTTGTGGGTCACTGGGTGAAAGTGAATTATAAGAAAAACAAGTAAAATAACTTAAGCAACACTAAATTGCTAAATGAATTGGGAAATTATTGCTGGCTGCAAAAAAGTGAGAACTTTTTAACCACGGAATTAGAAACTGCTCTTATTTCTGAGGATGTCACACTTTCTCTACTTCAATGAAGTAAAATGCAAATATGGATTGTATGAAGTCAGATTGAGTGTACCATGGCTTGTTTGGATGATATGAGGGCAGAAACTGAGGCCAGGGCTGTCATTCCCAAAGCCTTTTGGAGACACTCTCAGTGATTTTAAATTTTCTAGGAAAGCCCAGAAATACTTCATGTCTGTTGAACACTAAGCTAAGTATTAGCTGGAGAAAGTTTACAATTTTAATATCAGATAAGGTTGCATTTCATTCAAGGACATATTGTTGTGAAGCTGAGTTTTTGGCAGTTAGGATGGTAAAAAGCAAGTACTGCATAAAAGTTGGCCAAGGGGGAACAAGAATGAAGGGTGAGTCTGATCTGATTCCAAGGACTGAGAATTGTGCCCAACAGGCACATAAACCTTGTAGTTAAATAACTGTGATTGTTTAAGAATGAAATAAAAATGTTAGTTTTCTTTCAATTCATGTATTGTTTTTTTTCAAATAGCTACAACTACAAAGTTGTCAGAACAGAAATACTTAAGTTGTTTGTATCTGACTACTTAAAAGAAGAACTTCAGCCTGGGGTGGGGGGGATTGTGAGGAGGGTAGGGGACTTGTGAAAGAATTATTTATATATTAAAGGGCCCCTAGAACTAGGAAATTTAGAAAGATTAGTATTACTAATATGTAGAAATATTAGTATTAGAAAGTTTATATTATATATATGTATATTTATGGAAGGAGGAATTCATCTGTTGATGTCGGGAAAATGCAAATTATCTTGTATCTGAGTCTGGCATGATAATAATTAACCAGTGTTTCTTAATTATTTCCAGGGTGACTCACCTACATTATTTACTAATAAGTCATCTTCAGGGATGCTGTCAAAGGTAGCCAACCTTCATTTATATATTTTCCATTCTTCTCTCTTGGCGCACATGCACACACACAAACACACATATACACATGCGCACACACACACACACACACATACCTTCTTAGCACATTGAAATGTCTCTGAATATTGGCATAGAAACTTAAGTGGGCTGTGGGCTGTACATTTTGGGAGTAATGACAGACTGTAGCTTGGATGGTAACTGGGGGTGAGGGAAGGTGCCCACTTCGTAGTAGTAATAAATCAGCACAAACTGGCGAGAAAGTCAGGTCTGAGAGGGCCATGCTTTGGGATGTCTGTCCTCCAGCAATGGTCCCCACCTCCTCAAGTCTATTCCTTACCACAATTACAAACAGAGCAGGCTCCAAATCCACAATGATTTCTGGAGGGGAAACTAAGAACTATGGACTGAGACTCAGTTTTTCTATCTGTAAAGCAGTTGGCATTGAACTGGGTATCTATAATACCTTCAAAACCTTTGAAATTTATCATGCTGAGAATTCAGATGGCAGTGGGAATGGAAAAAAAATCTGACAGTATGAAAACTAACAAATGTCATAGTGCATATAGGATGGAGTACTTTTAATTATAGGAAATAGGACAAGCTACCAATATAAATTAGATTCTGAAGGGGGATTATTTTTCTCTCAATTTGTGTCAAACGCCAACCTTTGGTACACAAACTCCCAAACCATTGTGGGACAGCATGTTAGAAGCAATTAATGGAAGTACTTAAGAAAAATGACTTTGCATTTAGTAATCCAAGTTCCCCCTCTTCTTTTTTCTTTTTTTTAAAGATTTATTTATTTATGCATACATGAGCTGGGATACAGGCCAGAGGTGTGGGAGGTGAGAGGATTCACCAGAGACAGAGCGGAGAACAGAACAGGCAGAATGACTGAAATACACTGCTGAGGGGAGCAGCGGGTGAGTCAGGAGAGGTCTGCTGTGCCATGTGGGTTGCTCCCTGGCCGGCCGGGGGTCAAATTTCTGCTGCAGAGGCTGCAGATTGCTTCATAATTTGCGTCTTAACCCCTTGTGCCACCAGGGAGGCCCACACCCCTCCTTTAAAAAAAAAAAAAAAGATTTATTTATCTATGCACACAAAAGCTGGGGTGTAGGCTAGAGGTGCAGGGAGTAAGAGGATTCACCAGAGACAGAGTGGGGAGCATAACAGGCAGATTGACTGAAATACACTGCTGAGGGGAGCAGCAGGGGAGACATGAGAGCTCTGCGGTGCCATGTGGGTCACCTCCCTGGCTGGGGATCAAACTTGAGCTGCAGCAGTTGCAGATTGCTTCATAGTGCTGACGCTTAAGCCCTTGCATCACCAGGGAGGCCCCCAAGTTTTCCCTTTTTTATAAGCTATTTAATAATCCACCCAGAGGTGGATTTCTGTATACAGAAATCTTGATTATATTTGGTCACTGCCCTGTTATAACTATTCAAGCTTTTACTATCCTTTGTACTTTGAGGCAGGGAGTGGCTTAATTGCTTCTCTAGGGTCACAAACACAATGATAAAAAGGAAAAATCTGGACCCCACCCCCCAATCCAAAAGAATTAGAGATTATATCTGGTTACTTACTTTACGCGCTTGTGATTCTTGGAGACCACAGTTAGGACTCTGGTGTTAGCAGAAATTAAAATGGATCAGCGTGAGTCAGTGTGAGGCTGGAGTTCTCCAGCACACTGGATGAACCTGGTCAAAAAGATAAGGAATGTCAGGCAGAATTTGGAACCTACGATTAGTCATTGTGTACAGTTTAACTTGTATGATTGCAACAGAGAAATGCTAAAGACACATCTGCGATGTGCACTTTAGACTCATTTTCTGCCTGCAAACTAGAAATAAAGTTAGGCAGTCACAGCATCTTCATGGTTTATCAACCTTGCTCTTCAAAGGAGGGAGGATACAATAAGACAGTCACATCAACAGTTGCTACACAAAGATTCACGTTCAAGGGTTTTGAACCATTTCACACTTAGAGAATATCATTATTATTTTTAAGTTACACATCACCCACATTATTAAGTTCAAGGTTTAAAGACTTTTTAAGTGCATCTGAGTGCCTTGGCACTTGGGAAATCTGACAATCTTATGGGGAGAATATGACTTTTGGAGTCACTGGTCCTCTGTGTGAGTGTTGCTTTCAGTAATTAACAGAGTAATCTTGGAAAAATTATATAACTTGTCAAAACTTCAGTTTCTTTGATTTAAAATAGGCACATAATACCTGCCTCAGGTGGCTTGGTGGGAATGAGAGGAGATACTTTATGTAGAAATTCTTGCCCATAGTAAGCCTGCTTGAACGGCCATGAAAGTGATGATGATTATGATGGTGATCTCATTACCAGACCAGATCAGGTTTTTAAATTTTCTTTTTGAACTTCAAATTACAATTACTTTTTTTAATATAAGTATTTTCCATACAATATTTGGGATTACTTATACTAAAATTTTGTTCTTTGCTTATTGGAAATTAACTAGGTATCTTGCATTTTTTTCAGTGTAGAAGTTATTATTTAGTCATTTTATTTATTTCATATTTTATTTATTATTTTTTATTTTTAAAGATTTATTTATTTTATACAAGAACCAGGGTACAGGCCAGATGCGCGGGAGGGTGAGAGGATTCACCAGAGACAGAGTGGGGAACAGAACAGGCAGACAGATGAAATACACTGCTGAGGGGAGCAGCGGGGCGAGACAGGAGAGGTCTGATGTGCCATGTGGGATCCTTGCCGGTTGGCAGGTATTGAATGGGTGCTGCAGAGGCTGCAGATAGCTTCACAGCGGCGCTCAACTGCCTGCGCCACCAGGGGAGGCTATATTTCATATTTTAATTGCATCTTTTTTTTATTCAAGTAATGTTGGTTTACAATACCACAGATGACTTAGAGGTATAGATTCACACCTCTTCAGATCAATGTTATGACATCACATCCACCACCAAAAACCCCATATTCCTCCAAAATATACCATTGTGTTCCCCCACCCTCCTTATTGTCAGATTTCTAGGGTTTGTTTCGGTTCAATTTTCCCTGTTCCTTTGCTTTGTTTCTTTACGTTTTACCTATAAGTGAAATCATCAGAAATCACCATCAACATAAAGTGTTCTCTTGATTGACTTATAATATTGAAATGGTATCCACAGGCACAGAAAGTAAGCTTCAGGATAGATTGGTAAGACTAAAGTTGGGGGGAAGGTTCTGGAAGAACAAATCCTTTTTCCTCTGGTTTTCAATGTAGTATAACCACACCATTTGGCCCTGTAGCTGTACATTTTATAAAAGAGTTGGTGTGGAGATAGCATTGTTAGTTCTCAAGTTCAGCTACATTCTGGCAACTATAAAGATGGTAACATTTGAATGGTTTTACAGCTTAATTTTTACCCAGGAATCAAGCCTACAGGACTACTGTTAGTTCAAGTGTATTTTTATTTATTTATTTATTTATTTATTTATTTATTTATTTATTCATTCATTCATTCATTCATTCATTCATTCATTTATTTATGCAAGCACTGGGTAGAGTCAGAAGCGCGGGAGGGTGAGAGAATTCACCAGAGCCAGAGTGGGGAGCAGAACAGGCAGAAGGACCGAAGTACACTGCTGAGGGGAGCAGCGGGCAGCAGGAGAGGTCTGTGCGCCATGTGGGACCCTCCTCTGGTGGCCGGGGAGCAGCCGGGGATTGAACTGGAGCTGCAGAAGCTGTGGGCAGCTTCGCAACCCAGCGCTCAACCGCTGCGCCACCGGGGAGACCCAGTTCAAGTGTATTTTTAAGAACCAAAATATGTTTGACCTAGAGTCAGAGACACCTTGAGAGCTGGGGCCACAGGTAGTATCTTAAATACCAGTTCTTAGTCTCTTACCTTGATATGTACTTGGCAAAAAGAAGGTCCCTGGCCTTACCAGGCAGAAAGAAGGTCCCTGGCCTTACCAGGCAAATTAACATTAGTAGAAATAAAAAAATTAAATGTTGGTTGAGCATAAACATGATAATTTATTATTCATTTCATTTTCCAAAATTAGCAAGAAGAGACCTAAGGACAGGTAGCATTTCCCCCAACACAGCATTCTGCTAGTCAGCTGGCTCCTTCCTTCCTTTTGGGTCTTGTTTGCTTTCCTACTTTCTGTTTTAAGATAATTTGAACATTCCTCTCTTTTCTTCTGAAGAACCCATTCTACCCAGACCTCATCTCTTTTTCTCCCCGGGCACTTGTGAGAATATGTTTTTCCAAATAAATACTTACATTCTTACTTGATACCTTAATGCCTAAATGAATATGCTACTTACTAATGTAGATATTAATATAATTTTATATTATCTTATTAGACATAAACATATTAAAATAAATTTTGAATCGTCTTTGACAACTTGTAATTCATCAACTTTTGGTACTCCTGGGGATCATTCTGTTTTTGTTATAGGGAGGGGAAATTAACATGATATTTTATTTGGAAATAAGACAGACCCTGGAAAATGAAGAAACACTAAATGATTTCTAAAATTGATTCAATCTTCTATACATCACCATTTAGCACAGACTGGTTTAAAGAAACACAGGTGGGCCCATGTATAGTCACATGAATTAGGAAAATGATTCAACTACACTGATTCTCAATTACCTGATGCATAAAATGGTTTAGGAGGATTGAATGTAATTAAATAAAATTGAACTTTTTTTTATTTTTTTCATTTTTTATTTGTTTATTTTTTAAAAAGATTTATTGATTTATTTATACAAGCACTGGGTATAGTCAGAAGCGCGGGAGGGTGAGAGAATTCACCAGAGCCAGAGGGGAGAGCAGAGCAGGCAGACTGACAAAGTACACTGCTGAGGGGAGCAGCGGGCGGCAGGAGAGGTCTGTGTGCCATGTGGGACCTTCGCCCAGCAGCCGGGGATCAAACCGGCGCTGCAGAGGCTGCAGGCAGCTTTGCAACCTAGCACTCAACCACTGCGCCACCGGGGAGGCCCTTTTTTTATTATTTTTTAAAATATTTATTTATTTATTTATACAAGAACCGGGGTACAGTCAGATGCGCGGGAGGGTGAGAGAATTCACCAGAGACAGAGTGGGGAACAGAACAGACAGACTGATGAAATACACTGCTGAGGGGAGCAGTAGGCGAGACAGGAGAGGTCTGTCGCGCCATGTGGGACCCTCACCTGTGCCGGCTGGGAGCAAACTAGCGCTGCAGAGGCTGTGGACAGCTTCATAGCGCTGTGCTCAACTGCCTGCGCCACCAGGGGAGGCCCTTCTTTTTTTGTGTGTGTGTTTTGTTTTTTAATTTATTTATGCATACAAGAACTGGGGTATAGGCCAGAGGTGCGTGGGGGGAGAGGATTCACCAGATACAGAGTGGGGGGGAGTAGAACAGGCAGATCAACAGAAATACACTGATGAGGGGAGCAATGGGTGAGTCAGGAGAGGTCTGCTGTGCCATGTGGGTCAGCTCCCTGGCTGGGATTGAACTCGTGCTGCAGTGGCTGTGGATAGCTTCAGAGGTTGTGTCCCAACCCCTTGTGCCACCAGAGATGCCTCTAAAATTGAACTTCTTATCCCATCTAGAACATAATAAATGACCACTAAGTGATGACTTACTATTTTATATAGTTACTTAGGTTGGAAACTCTGAAGTGATTCAACATCAAGAGAAATGGATGCTCTTAAAGATTTAATAATTTTCTTCTGGTTTGCAGCTCAAAGTATAGGAATGTCTAACAATACGCTTTACACTTTTTACTAGTTACAATTAAAAACCCTTTCCCTGAATATACACAGATGAGTATCTAGGTATAAAAATACAAGTTTTAGATAGATATTTCTATTCTGCAGCATTAAACAACCTTAAATGAAGCTAAACAGTCAGTCCTTGCAATGATTTGTGTGGACGCCTGGTGGAAGGAGCACAGGCTGGTTTTCAGTAGACAGGACTGACCATGTGCCTCTGGGCAGTGTCTTGACCTCTCTGAGCCTCTCATTCCTTATTTAAAAGCATTCTGTTCTGTCCCTCAGCCTTAAAGTGACTTGTAGTGACCCTTTGGTAGCAGAGTATAATTCCTATCATGTCACCACAGAGAGTGCCAAAATATCCTAATATCTGTTTTTTTTTAGAAGTTGGATTTGGTGACTCCTAGACACAAAATTGGTCATTTTTGCCATTGGTACCAGCAAACATGATACAAATGACAATTTAACTATCATTAAAAATAATTGCCAGTAAGGGAGTTATGATGGGGTCATTAATATTCTATTTAATGTACTTTAGTGAGTATCTGACTCCTAATTTATGTTCAGATGAGAAAACGTAAACTCCAGAAGCTGCAGTGACTTCTCTACATATTATAAAAATAAGTTGATAGTAGAAGCAAGAACGTAAACATACTGCAGAATTGAAACAACATACGTTGGCATCTCAGTTATTAGGCAGGGAAAGCAACAGCGAATAGTGTGAAGGGAGCCCATTTGCAGCAGTCTTTTTAGATTAGCGAGGCAGTGGTTTCGCTGGAGAGCAGGTGTGGGGCACAGTAGTGAGAGGTGAGATTGAAAAGATAAGTTATAACCAGTGTGGGGAAACTCAGCAATGGAGGGGATAGGAAAGAATGGAAGGTTTCTGAGAAGGGAGCAAAATTTAGCAGGAAATGCAGTCTCCATGGCACAAACATCTTCAAGCCTGGACTTCTAGGGAAGGTTTGGAAAATGGGGAAAGCACACCTACCTGTGTTCTCAAGTTGATTGTGGAAGCAACAAAGGATTAACTGGGGAAATTAATGAAAACACAAAGAAGGCATGATATCCATGGCCAGTGGGACACTACTAAGCTATAAAAAAGGATGAGCTTGTGATTTGCAACAACATGGATGGATCTTGAGGTGGTTATGCTAAGTGAGATAAGTCATAGGAGAAAGATAATCACTGATGATTTCACATGTAGAAGATAAACAAAGTTAAAAAAAAACCAACTAAACAAAACAGAAGCAAACCTGCAGACTGACAACAAAACGGTGGTTTCCAGAGGGAAAGGGGAAAGGGGAGAGGGGATGGGAAGAACAGTAGAGGAATTACCTAGAAAGAGATGAATGGTAACTAGACCTCAGTGCTTTATTTAATTTATTTAAAAAGATATTTGTAAGGGCAGGAATGGGCGCAGTGCAGGTTATCTATGATTCTATGCAGACGGGGTAAAGGAGGAGAGTCCTGGAGCCCTTGGTGGCTTTTGCAGACTTTTATTGGGATTTACCAGGATACAGCAGGCAGGGGTGCTGGGGGGGGGAGTGGGAGACTGGCAGGCCTCCCAGCCCCCAGCAAGTCTTCACTTTGTCTGGGCTCTCCGGCGTTCTCTGATGCTCTCATAGTTCTCCTGTTTGTTCTGCTTCTGCTTCTTGTGGTTATGCTCTCTCTCAGTGTCTGCTCTCCTGCTTGCATCCCTGTGACACCACCCTTATAAGCCTAGTCTTAGCCCAGGTGTACCCACTGACACATGCCTACACCCCACTCCAGGTGTCTGCCATCAACATGCATTCGGGACCACAGGGTTCTGTCATCTATCCTAATGGCCAGAGGGCAGAAAAGCCTGATACGTTTTACCTTACCCTACAATATTATTTTCCTTAAAGAACAAATGTGACATATTTGGCTTTTGATAGGGCAAATCAATAATTATCATATATAGAAGAACAGTCAAAATGAAAGGTTAATGAAAGAAACCATCTCAGGGGAAGATTTTGGAGGAGAGTGGTAACCAGCAAACTAACAAGTGGTATAAATGTAGTAAGAAGCACTAAGACAAGGACAAATCTCTGAAGTTAGCTTTTTTGGGGAAAGACCAGAAAGCAGGAGTGGATCTTAAATTGATTATGCACAGCTTCCAGGGAGCTTGTCATAATTAGCATTCCAGCTGGTCTGAATTACTGTTACATTTGGATTCAGGACTCTGCTTCTACAAACTTCTTGAGATAGTCTTTGTAGTCTGTGGGTCGTAGTTTGTAATAAACTATTAGGTGATTTGTCTAAGATATTTTCACATTTTAGTCTGCATGGAGACAGAAGAATCAACTTGAATGAGTTTTCCTTGGGCAATCTCAGACTCTGGAGATGAACTAGTGATATTTTCAAAAAGCAGACTAGCTGGAAAGATTTCAAGACATCCTCTTTCTAAAATTTTCAAGGATTAAATTTAATAATAATTTTGTCCTAAAGGAGCTGTTTTTTCCTCAGTGATTCTACATTAATCTGAAATTTTTTTTTCAATCTTGCCCACTATAAAAGTAAGATAAAATATCCCTAGCTAGTACTTGATTAATAAGGCAAGTTATAAAAAAATAATTAGCATAGGGCCTCCCCACTTGAGCGCTGGGTTGCGAAGTTCCCCACAGCCTCTGCAGCGCCAGTTCGATCCCCGACTGCTCCCCAGCCACCAGAGGAGGGTCCCACATGCTGTGCAGACCTCTCCTGCCGCCCGCTGCTCCCCTCAGCAGTGTACTTCGGTCCTTCTGACTGCTCTGCTCCCCGCTCTGGCTCTGGTGAATTCTCTCACCCTCCCTCGCTTCTGATACCCAGTGCTTGTATAAATAAATAAATAAATATTTAAAAAAAAGAAAAAAAAAGAAAAAAATTAGCATGATGCACATTACAATGCAGGGATTGGCAAACCTTTTCTGTAAAGGATCAGACAGTAAATATTTCAGGTTTTGTGAGTCATATCACAAAGTTGCAACTATTCAGCTCTGCCAGAGTAGCTTGAAAGCAGTCACAGACAATAAATAAATGGATGTGGCTGTGTTCCAATAATACTTTATTTGCTGAAAGAGACAGTAGACTGGATTTGACACACAGGCAGTAGATTGCTGACTCTTGCTGTAAAGGCTTCATGAATTTTATTATTAATATAATGACTTGCAAATAATCTAATATTTAGCAAAGTAATGTCTTTAAATTAAAAACTAAGTATTTATACCATCTGCAACTCCCCACCCCCACCCCCACAAAGGCATCTTATAGGAGCAATGAAAATATAATCTTGCATTTAAATGCTGGTGTCATTTCAATAAATTCTTAAGTTCCTACTGACAGATTGCCCTCATGTTGTTCTAGGCCCTCGAGGGAGAAATCCAGACCACAGTGAAGAACAATGTCTATAAAGGTTCTGGAGAAATAAAAGGAAAAATTTACCTAAATGTTTTACCTATGACCTTTCTCCTATCTTGGATGACTTTGGTCTGGACTCCTGGCAAAGTTTATCTCCCCCAGGTCAGTTAGTGGAAAGAATGAATGTTTTACAGCCTCATGTTTATCTATTATGTTGCTTAATGTCTATTGACTTTGGGCTGTTTGGGACTCTTAGACTTCAGTTCCAAGAAAATGTCTGTTTCTTCTAACAAACTGATATTCTTTCTTTAGTTAGATGACAAAGACTACATATTGTTTAACTAAGGTTACACTAGATATAAGACTCAACTGTTATAATGGTGTCCCTCTGCTTGGCAAATAGACTTTTCTTCCTCAGTGCTTTTTTTCAGAATGTGAATGATTACCTAAGATTTATTGTAAAAAAAATGAAAGACTTTTTTCATTGGACCCTCCTTCAAATGCCTTTTGAAATATAAAATGGACCCTCCTTCAAATGCCAGCTGAAATATAAACCAAGAATTATACATATAATTAATCAGATCATATTTGTTACAAGAGTGGCTTTTTTATGGAATGCTTCCCCCAAAGTAACTTAAATGTAATTAAAAATAAAATAAATTGTTAGTAATTACTTTATCAACAACACAGGTTTTTATGCATTAGTATTTTATGGGGGTGGAGTTGTTGTAAGTTCTAGACTCAAGCTAACCTGCGTGCCAATCCCAGGACCAGCCATGTGGTTTTGGACATGTCACCCAACTGCTCTGAATCTCTGTTTCATCATCTGTAAAATGTGTAGTAACGGTATCCATCTCCCCAAATTGTGAGAATTAAACAAAATAATACATATAGAGTGTATATAACACAATGTCTACTCTATGATAAGTGGAAAATATAATAGAGAACTATTATGACATACTCATTTTTATTTTTACAGCAGGGTTTCTCTTAACATATGAGAAATGTGGCCATTTTCTCAGCTTTCATATTTTTAGTTTTTCTTTAAGACATATTGAATAACAATAAAAGCTTTATGCTCACACATTAGAACCACTGAAGTTGGAAAAAAAAAGCCACAACCACAGCAAGAAGCCCCAAGATTTTCAACAGGAAGGAAACTGGGGAATTTGATGGAGCTTTTAGAGCCCTTGTTTTTAAAGGCTTCAGTATCCTTTGTTTCTGAGTGAGGATGGCACGCTTGGCTCCTTCCCATTGCCCTGGCCCAACCAGGCGATACTGATAGGAGTTGCAGGGTCCAAAATAGAGTTTCACAGCCAGTGTAGGATCTTGTAAGAAGAGTGAAAGGAGGTCTGGTTTCGCACCTATCTCCAGGGCTAGCTCATCCAAGTAGTCGATGTAATTGGTCTGCAGTATTTGGCTCTGGCTCTCTCCAAACCTTCATGAAAAAGTAAAATGGGTAGGTTTACAGATCAGACATTCAATAGGTGTTGAAAAATGAAAGCATAAGGGCCTCCCCTGGTGGCACAGCGGTTGAGCGCTGGGTTGCAAGGCTGCCCGCAGCCTCTGCAGCGCCGGTTCGATCCCTGGCCACCAGTGAGGGTCCCACAAAAAAAAAAAAAAAAAAAAAAAAAAAAAAGAAGGCATAAGTGAATGAGTTTTGAATGGAGCTTTCGTGGAAAATGCCAATTTACCTCATTAGGAGTCCCTCTTCCCCCCACCCCCAGATTGAAAGTAGACTGAAAAATAAATAGCCATGAATTCATGGAAGTTTTAAGAATGGACAAGATTCATAGCCATCAGTACTACCTGATGTTTACTATGTGACAGCTTCATGTCTCTAGGCAGGTATAGACTCTTTTGGATTGCTACAAATATTCTTAAGGTAATACAGAGGGGCGCCTTGCTCAGTGTCCTACATAGAGGATGCTTACTATTTGTCTGTTAAAATTATTTTTTTATTTTTTAAAAAAAGATTTATTTATTTATTTATACAAGCACTGGGTACAGTCAGAAGCCCTGGAGGGTGAGAGAATTCACCGGAGCCAGAGCAGGGAACAGAACAGGCAGATTGAAGAAATACACTGCTGAGGGGAGCAGTGGGAGCAGCAGGAGAGGTCTGTCATGCCATGTGGGACCCTCGCCAGTGACCGGGGATCGAACCGGTGCTGCAGAGGCTGTGGGCAGCTTCGCAGCCCAGCGCTCAACTGCTGCGCCACCAGGGGAGGCCCAATTGTCTGTTAAAATTATTAAGGTATCTGGCTCTCTAGCTGGCTGATAGTAGATACTCAATAAGTGTTAGGTAAATTAGAAATTGAACATGAGATAACCCCGCCAAGTGAATTCTCCAAGAGTACATGATCAACAGTGAGCCCCATTTCACTGCATTGTAAAGTACAAATCCTGAACCTTCACTTCTCACCAATCCCTTTCTAATGTAATTTTTTAAAAAAGATTTATTTGTTTATGCATACAAGACCTGGGGTACAGGCCAGAGGTATGGGGGTGGGGTGAGAGGATCCACCAGAGACAGAGTGGGGAACAGAACAGGCAGATTGACCAAAGTACACTGCTGAGGGGAGCAGTGGGTGAGTCAGGAGAGGTCTGCTGCACCATGTGGATAGCTCCCTAGCTGGTCAGGGATCGAACTCATAATGCAGAGGCTGCGGACAGCTTCATAGGTTGAGTCTTAACCCCTTGCACCACCAGGGAGGCTCTCTAATGTAATTAAAAAAATATTTATTTTATTTATGCATATAAGAACTGGGGTATAGGCCAGACGTGCAGGGGATGAGAGGATTCACCAGCGACAGAGTGGGGAGCAGAACAGGTGGTTCTACTGAAATACACTGCTGAGGGGAGCAGCGGGTGAGACAGGAGAAATCTGCTGTGCCATGTGGGTTAGCTCCCTGGCCAGGGATGGAACTAAGTGCTGCAGTGGCTGTGACAGTTTGACAGCACTGAGACTTAACCCCTGTGCCACCAGGGAGGCCCCTTTCTAATGTAATTTGATGAGAGATTCCTCTGTTAACTTTCCAGAGATATGTAGACTACTGTTACCACCATGGCCTCCAGACTACGCCCTTTTTAACCAGAGAGTGTGGGTGGCTTGAGAAGATATGGACTATAACACAGACAGAAAACAAAACTGAAATGAAGTGATGTCAAGGAAAAATGTTCTGCTTTGGTAAAGTTTCTATCTTGAAGTAGTTGCCTTAAAATTAGTATGCATAAGAATTACTGAGGAAGAACATAACTCACATATTTCTACTCTCATTTGGAGATTCTGATTCACATAATCTGGGTTGTGACCCAGGAATTTGCATTTTTTATAAGCAGTTAGGTGGCTCTTATAGGTAGTTAGATCAATATACTTGATGTCGAGAAGTTTTGTAAAAGCTATTCTTACAGTTCAATTCTGTTTTCACTCCTCTTGATAATGTCCAACATCATGGTATTCTCTGAGGGCAAGGTACACAAGCCTAGAAAATAAGAGCTTCGTTGAGTAGTGGATTTTAGTCAATATCTTTGCTTTAGCTAGGAGTTAATTTTATTATGACTAAACTCTGACCATTTACCTGTGTTAAACATTCAGGGCTACAGTGCTGTTGAACTCCAGGGGCACCCCACCCATTGAGTTTTAGCATGATTAAGTCCTTGAAGCACAGGCTACAGCATGAATTATGGAGTTCAGAGGAGTAAGAGAAGGAACTGGAAAAGGAAGGTGAGCCTGTGGAGCTGGGAAGGCATGCCAGGTGATTGGAGATTTATTCTGAAGGCGATGGTAAGCTATGAAAGGATTTTCTGCAGTTGCTGACAAGATCAGTCTTGCCTTGGAAAGATTCCTCTAGATGCTGAGTTTCAGAAAATAAGCTCCAGGCAGGTGAGTTTGAAGACAGTAAGACCAGTTAAGAGATGTTGAGAGACAGAGTAGAGCAAACTAAGATAGAGTAGTGGGGATGGAGAAGGTAGAGTCATGTAAGAATTATGATTTGTATATAATTCTGTTCCCTGTCCAATAAGTTTCAGATAGGTAGAAAAATGGTAAGTTCTGAAAAATTAAACCAAAACAAACCCTAGAAATATAAATGAAGAAATGAAGCTGCTATAAGGGAAGAGAGGGTGGAGGTAGGAACAAAAGGGAGAGGTGACCCAATGGTCTGTGGTAAAAGACTAGAGGTGCTTTGATGGTAAGTGTGGTATGGTGACAAATGTCTAAAAAGGTGCGAACCTATTCCTCTAAATCATATAAATGCTGTAAAACAATATTACTTCAATAAAGAAAAAAAGATTTAGTTATCAGACATCTCAGTTCAAGGATTCCAAAACTGAGCTCATTACACAGCATGGGCTAGAGAGGCAGGACTCATGCTGTCCCTTGAAAACTACTATAAAACAAAGACTGATTAATGCTCCTAGAAAAATCCGGATACTTTCAATCAGCTATGCAGGCCCAGGACATTCCCAGAGAGTTCAAGAACTAAGGTTGGTGGCTGCTGAGGGGAAAGAATAGGTGGGGGTTAGGGGGAGTGTGTCTGTGTGGAGAGGTTGACTTCCCAAGCCTTGCCAAGGGAAACCCAGAACATTGTGGAATTCCTTGGAGGAATTTTCCTGAGTTCATCACTGAAGCCCTCCTGTCCAGATTTCCTTCTTCTTCCTTCTCTATTCGCAATACTGCTGTCTACCCACTTTCCATGGTCAGAGATCAACAACTTATTCTTGATTCCTCTTTCTTTCTCTAATTTCCCCACATCATGATGCTCAGATTATTTCAACCCTATCACTCAGATTTAAATCCTGGCCTTTATCTCTCTGTAGGCTCAGTTCCATTCATAGTTTGGTATAAACTGTTGCAGTGGCCTTCTTATTGGTCTCTGAGGCTTCACTCTTTTCTCCTTTCAAATCTATCTTCCACACTAGTGTTGACACAATGGATCAAAAATATAAATCTGGTAAGAGCTCTTCCTTGCTTTGAATCCTTCCTTGGGTCCTAGGACTGAAAACTTTCTACAAATGAAGATTCTAGGTCCTCAGGTCAGGCTTTCTTACTCAGGTTCCCTAAGGGCCCTCCAGATGATTTTTATGTGTAGTCATATTTGGAAGGGGCATTTTTTTGGATCTAATTTTTTTTTTATTCCAAGCTCTTTAGCATACTTTACAAGTTCCTGTGTCCTAGCTCCTTCTTCAAGAATGATCTCTCACCTTCTCTGTTTCACATGTCATGTTGTAGGAATGTTAAGTAGCTTATAATTCTCAACATCTAGCAAGACTCTGTGCTTTGGCTTAAGTGATTCTGCCCCTGAGAAACCCACCCATATAGGAAACTTTCTTTGACTATGTGCCCTCCTTTTATCCCACCCTTCTGTTGCTAAGAACCATTTCTCGATTTCCCACACACTCCATGCATTCTTTTATCAAAGCATTTGTCCTTTTATGTTAAAATTGGTTTAAATTTCACTCTATCCCACCAGGTTCCAGCATGGGGCTAGGTATGCAATGTGTTTTTACTGAGCTGAATTAAATCCTGGAGTCTGGAAGATTATATCCTCAGAGGAGTACAAAGTGCTAGATAGATGCTTAGATAGAAACTTTTCAATATTTATTATTACTTTGTAGGGATTTATGAGGTCAAGATGCTTAGTTATTAAGAGTTAGTTTGGATTAAGTATGGAGTGGGACCTAGGTCTTGATTTGCACACATTCTGAGGAACTTATAAACATCATATGAGTAGTACCAGAGTCATAAATGTTTTTCTTAACTGTTCTCTTATGATACAAAGAAAGGATGACATGTACTTGACTTTATGCCAATCAAAACTTTTTAATATTTTAAAGGAATGATTGTAGATGTTTATTATACCACATGTCACTATTTGTTATTTTCTCAATCCTCCACTCACTTTTTAAGATGTTAAAAAGTGAAAGCAGCCAAGGTTGGCAACCTTCTTATCTAAAATTGTTGTGGGAAGAACTCCAGGAGATTTGAAAACATCAGCCATTTACTTACCTTTAAAAACTCTTGTCGCCCAACGAGCTTGAAGTTCCACGGTTGGAAAAATGGAACCTAGGGGCTGGATGAGGCCAATGCATGCAAGGGTTGACTTCTCCAGTTGAGGAGGGAACATGTATTTATACAGTGAGACCATATTATTCTCCACTTTCACAAGTGAATCTTCAAGGAAGGGAAAGGAGAATGTATATCCTGTTGCAAAGACAATGACATCAATGTCCTCCTGTACTGTTCCATCTTCAAAGATGGCAGATGTTTCTGTGAGCTCTTTCACTCTCGGTTTCACTTGGATTGCTCCGTAGAGTAGACGACTGGGAAGATCATCATTTAGTATAGGCTCTTTCATAAGGTATCTGAAACACACAGAAAAAAACATCAGAAGTAGCCCTGAAAGGGGATTCTAGAAGTCTCTTGGTATTTCATGGGATTGGTTCTGAGAATTAAAAGATTTTTCAAATGTCCATACAATTTCTCACTTGACTAGTTGGCCTATCTCAAGCCTTATTATCTGACTTTATTCTCATGTCACAAATCTATCCCCTCAACAAATAAGAGAAGACATGTGGGTGATGTGGGTAAAAGACATTTTAAAAAGAAGGCATCCCTAAGGGCTTAAACAAAATGACAGTGCCCATGGTCAGTCCCTGAGTATTGCTTCGCAACATCCCAATGATGTTTTGACCATTGTTTTATGTTATACCTTCAACCATCTTCTGTTCCACTAAGTCTCTATCTGATGATCAGTAAAGAAGAGAAAATTTGTTAAATTCCTACTCATTTTGAAACTTATTAAGAAATCAGTGTGGGGCCTCCCTGGTGGCTCAGGGGGCTGAGCGCAGTGCTGTGAAGCTGTCTGCAGCCTCTGCAGTGCGGGTTTGATACCCGGCTGGCCAGGGAGATGCCCAAATGTGCATCTGTCTCACCCACTGCTCCCCTCTTCTGTCTCGTCGACTGCTCCCCTCAGCAGATTTTTTGGTTCGCCTGCCTGTTCTGCTTCCCATTCTGTCTTTGGTGAGTCCTCTTGCCCTCCCGCACCTCTGACCTGTACCCCAGTTCTTATATGCATAAATAAATTTAAAAAATCAGTGTGAAAATTAATGTATAAAATTAAATTTGGGTGTATTTGTTGATCCCAAGTTTCATGCAGTCTCTGTGACAACATAGGTAATGGAACAAAGCCAGTTCATATTTCTGAGATTTCCTTTTGTGGATTTTAGTACCAGTTAAAAAAATAGGACAATATATGCCATACACATCAGACCTTAGAATATTGCAGTTATATGGCATTTGTTGAGAGTCCAATGTTCTTTTTTTTTTTTTAAATGAAAGAAGACTGTTACCAACTAAAGAAAAAAAATAAACATCCATAGTGTTTGCCTGTATTTATAAGTTCAACGATGTGTAATGCTGAGATCAACAAAGATTTGGTTTTTGACTATGAGACATTGAGTATGTTCTCAAAAGCCTCATGGAAAGAAACTTCATGGTGTATAGTTCACAAGCACATATTATCAGATGAGAATTTGGCATGTTTTCTACCACATGCCTCTTAAAGTGGCCTTTTCCAATGTTGAATAGCTCTTGTTATACTAGAAAGGTCTCTCTATAACCCCAGTTCTGTTTTCTGGAGGAGGTGGTAGCATTGTGACTTCATTGTCTTAAGAATTTATTTAATTTTTTGTTTATTATTTTTAAAAGATTTTATTTATTTATGCATATATAAGAACTAGGGTACAGGCCAGAGATGTGGATAGTGAGAGGATTCACCAGAGACAGAGTGGGGAACAGAATAGGCAGATTGACCGAAATACACTGCTGAGAGGAGCAGCGGGCAAGTCAGGAGAGGTCTGCTGCACCATGTGGGTTGCTCCCTGGTTGGCCGGGGGATCAAAGTCATGCTGCAGTGGCTGCAGATTGCTTTATAGGTTGCGTCTTAACCCCTTGCACCACCAGGGAGGCCCTTAAGTATTTACTTTTAAAAGATATACGGAACAAATTTGGACTGCAAATTCCATGACCTATATGATACCCAAACTAATAGGTTGTAGCTTAAACTACCATGGTAGCAACATGATTCTTCGGAAAGGGAGGCTACTCTTGACAATCTTACTTAAAACTGAGCATAGCATAAAAAAATCAAAATAACTCTACTTGTTTTGAGGCTCAAGGCCATAATTTTCGTGGTTGAACCACCGATTCATCTGTTGTTCCATCATCCATTTCAGAACTGCTCGTGGCAGGACATTTCGGAGCATGGAGCTAAAACGAGTGTGAAATATCATGTCCCAGGGGTAGCCGTCTTCAGAGATACGACTCATGACCCAGGAACCCTGCTTGGTGCTGATAGACACCTGATAAGAAAAAAGGAATGCATTTAAAATTAGGGCATCATCCTTTTAGGGAGCAATCTACATTGACCATCCCTTCAGGAGGGGCATCTGTCTTGGCTAGATCCACCAGATGGTGTGATATACCTGAGGATTTAGGCTGAGAGTTTCACTGACATGAATACTTCAAACCAAGGGCCAGAGGTTTGGTTTTTGTTGGGGTAGTTGTGGACGACTCTGCACCTGTAGTGTCTTGAATAGTGCTTTTGGACTATGGTAGAGCCTGCTTTATACTTATGGATGTGAACTTCCTTTAACAGGGTCAGGGCACACTCAGGAGTAAGGTGTGTTTAGATTGTTATTTTGGGCTTTCCAGATGCACCTTGTTCTACCTCTTGCATATGTAACTCTTAAAAAGGTTTTCTCATAATTATGACATATACTATTAATCTCATTGATACTGAAGAGACACTGTTTAAAAGATTATCTAAGGAGCTGTAAGGCACACAAATGCAGCTATGGTGGTGACTTTGACACCATAGACAGATTTATTACATGGCAAGGCCCATATAAGGAACTGGCTCTTGTGACCCAAGATTGATATCTTTGGAGCATCTTTTCAAAATCCAAATCCTGACAACACATAATGGCCTTGTATAGGGCTTCACTTGGATGGCAGGTAAGTCAGCTCCTTTCAATTTCTCTTTCACCCTCTCCTTTTCATTCTTGACAGTTATTCCCCAATGGAATAGAGACATAGCTGGGGTTGCCTCTTTTTGATTCTGCCTCCTCATTTATTCTACACACTGAGATCTTCAAGCTATGAAAAGTAAAAAATGGTTGCGTGACATCTTGGGTCCAGTAAACCTCTTTCTGGTGTTAGTGACTTGCTTTGTGTCTAGGTTGGTGCTGACTAGTAACACTGACATTGTAACCCTTTCATTAACCTGCTTAGGAGACATGTTTGTTTATCACTTTTATTATTGGGCCTTTCCAGGCCTCAATATGTGAGACTAGGGGAGTTTATGTTTGTGGACATGCTATGGTAAGTTGTGTATCCAGAAGTTAGTAGGCTGAGAAGGCTGGTGTAAGAGTGTTAGGGATCCTGGGTCCAGCCTCCATGGAGAAACAATACTTTCAGGAGAGGACCCTTAGCTATTTTCCCATCTTTACCTAGGTCTGTCCTTCAAGAAGGATTTATTTTCAATCATTCCCAACTATCACTGTCAGCATTATCTACATATTAGAGTTTTTGGCTTTTTGGCAGCTGAGCAGTGTCATTTCTGGGCAGGTGCAAAGATGACAATGGTCAGAAGGCCACAGAGCACCTCAATAGCTATGATCTTTATGGCTGGGCCTCTATTTTATCTTTCTATCTATTTAATTTTTCATGGTCCTTGGGTGAATGAAGATTATTTACATTTCAAACAAAATTCAAATAGCCACTAAATTTCTAAAAGGCACCCCCAAAATATGAGCAGGTCAACTTTTCATTAAGTCCCCAGGGTAGAAACAACCCTCAGTGCTGAAAGTCATCTAATCCTACTATCTCATTTAAAACAAATGAGGGACCCATAACTCAAGAGATGTGAAATATCTTGTTAGTTATGTTGCTCATTAGTGGCTGTGCCAGGAGGTAAACTCTGTTTTCTTGACTTCTGATTTTCTATTCTACCACACTGATTAACCATCCATCCAACCAACCAGCCAACCAGCCAACCAACCAACCAGTCAACCAACTAGCCAGCCAACCAGTCAACCAACCAATCAGCCAACCAAAACAACCAACCACCCAGTCAACCAACCAACCAACCAACCCACCAACCAGCAAACCAACTGATAGACCAATTATGAGTAATGGAGGTTGATGATATAGCTGGGATTTTCTGAAATGCCTTCCCCTTTCCTCTCCACCATAGCACAAGGTCAGTAGAGAACATCCCACCTGAGCAGCCTTCTTACTCAGCTCGACGGCAATATCTGAGGCAGAGTTTCCTATTCCAATCACCAGGATGTGTTTCCCCTCAAATCCCTCTGGATGCTTGTATTGACGACTATGAAAATACTGGCCTTTGAACTTCTCAATACCTTCAGGGGAAAGAAGATAGAAGCCCAGGAACTATGTTAAATTAATTTCAATAGAATTGCATTGTCAGCTTTTCCTTTCTGGGGTCAATCATTTGTTTGGCCTTTTCTCCTTTTTAGGGGTTACACTAGTAAGACCAATTGACAAACTCAAAGTATAAAGCATATAAGAGATGGTAGGTTAAGCATATAGTACAGGACCAAGGGAGTTGATTTTAGAAGTGCAGCTTAGATATTTATTAAAGAATAAATAGTTTTCATGAATAGATGCTGGCTTCTGACTACCCATTATCCTATTTGGAATTGTACATATACTTCAATATCATATAGCATACATTTAAATGTTTCTTAAACTTATTATAAAATGCTTTTATTATAATTCTGCCACAGTTAGAATGCTATTTATTATTCTATTTTGCAAGAGCAAACAAAAACTAAACTAAAATAAAAACCAGGGACATAGAAATTGAGAGATAGTTTCCACAATGCTGTAAGACAGTAACTTACTGGGAAAACCTCTTTGAAGACAAGTCTCTTTTCTGTTTCTTTTCCAGGAATACATGACTTTAAATATCTGTTTTGAGGGTGGGCTGCTTGAAAGAAACTTTAGATCATATTTCTTAAATTGTAATCCCTTAGACAACAGACTAGCATCACCTGGAGCCTTGTTAGAATTGCAAATTCTCAGTCTCAAGCTAGACCTACTGAATTAGAAATGTTAGCAAGTTGGGGCACTCCAGGTGATTCTGTCTGAGAACCATTGCTTTAGATCAATAGGTTTCAATGCTGGCTTCATATTAAAATCACTTGAGCAGCACAATTATTCAATTCCTACTCAATATCAGTTGACTCTTTGGAGGTACCAGGTGTAGAAGCTCCACAGGTATTTCCAGTGTGGGGCATGGACTGGAAACCACTGCATTAGATAATTTCCTGAGGGCCTTGCAAAGGAAGTACACTCTCTCACAAAAGGACTTGGGAGGTACCAGGACATATAGCAGTAGGATTTCATTGCCATCCTTCCTCCCTTGCATGCACTCACCCCCACCCCCATCAATATTTTGTAGGAGCACTTATTTCCAGGAACTCTTCCCTGTCCATAGGTATGGCTCTGTGGAAAAGCTCCATGGACACAATAAAGTCACAGGTGTTGGCAGGATGGAAAAAGACTGAGGTCAGCACATGGATAACAGGGACTTTCCACCAGATAACCAATTTGGATGAAAATTCTCTGTAATTCTGGGGGGAAGATTTAGTGACTCTAGAGGAGGTTAGCCAAAAACCCTGTGTATGAAGAGCCAGAGAGGTCAGTATAATGGAGATGGCATTGGGAGACTCATCTTTCTTTTTCTTTTTCTTTTTTTTTTTTTTTTAAAGATTTATTTATTTATTTATACAAGAACCTGGGTATAGTCCATAGGCCAGATTTGAGGGCAGGTGAGAGGATTCACCAGAGACAGAGTGGGGAGCAGAACAGGCAGACTGATAAAATACACTGCTGAGGGGAGCAGTGGGTGAGACAGGGGAGTTCTGCTCGCCATGTGGGACCCCCGCCGGTGGGCCAGCTGGGATAGAACCCGCGCTGTAAAGGCTGCGGACAGCTTCACAGTGATGTGCTTAACCTCCTGCACCACCAGGGGAGGCCATGGGAGACTCATCTTTCTGGCTCTATCTGGATCTTAATATTATGTCCAGCTGCAGCAGTTCATTTTGCCTACCATCTCAAACTGAATGGAAAGTATCTCGACACCTACTTTGAAATGCTGGAATCCTTTTGGGCCTCACCTGGAAATGACTCCAATGGGATGTGAGGGAGGATGTGGTGGCCACTGCAAACCATAACCCCATCAAAGATGGCACTCTGCTCCTTGCCGTTGCTCTCGGTAACAACCTCCCATTGGCCAGAAGATGCAAAATCCGGGCATTTTTTCACCCTTAGGACTGTTGTCTTGAACAAACACAGAGAAGGCAGTATTGAGCATTACTCTGACATAACGGGGTAGCATCCAACCCTGGGAATGGGTGGATAGATGCAATTTAGGACTCCATTTAGGTTCCATTTGAATCCATTTCAAGCCACCTCAGGCAAAGTCTACTAAGTGCGTCTCTCTCATTCTTCTTTGGCAGCTACCAAAGATCTGCTGGTTGTGTAAGAAGCCTGACTCAGCAGTGGGAACCAGTCTGTTAGCTGAACAAGGTCTCTGAGAGAGACAAAGAAAGGAAGACAAGGTCTGGGCTGGATATAAACACATGTCAGTCACTCCAGCGATCATACAATCAGTGTTTACTAAGAATGTTTTGTGTCCACTCCTGTGCAAACTATATTAAAGAAGATACTTCATCTGGAAAACTTTGTATAGTGCCTGGTACATTCTTAGCACTCCATGAAGGGCAGTGGTTAGTATTTATTATTTTGGTTTTATTTTTAAAAAAGATTTATTTATTTATGCATACAAGAGCTAAGGTGTAAGCTAGAGGTGCTGGGGGGCGGGGTGGTGGTGAGAGGATTCACCAGAGGCAGAGTGGGGAGCAGAACAGGTGGACTGATTGAAATACACTGCTGAGGGGAGCAGTGGGTGAGACGGGAGAGGTCTGCTGCACCATGTGGATTAGCTCCCTACCGGGGATCAAACTAGTGCTGCAGTGGCTACTGATAGCTTCATAGTGCTGAGAATTAACCTCTCATGCCACCAGGGAGGCCCCAGTATTTATTATTTTGAATACAGAGAAATCATGTTAGCAATACAGTTCATGATATTATTTGGATGCAATAATTTATTGGTTCACTGATTTGTAAAAAATGTGTGTGGTTTACTGTCTGGAGTCCTTTTAATTTTTAAAAGTATACATAGAGATGGGTGTCTGATATATTTAAGCAACAAAATCAAATAAAAGCAAAGCTTTTCTACCATTCCTCTGAATGGTGTGCCACTTGTTTGTAAGTATTTGAGTTCCTTAAACATGCTTTTCAGATGTGTAGTTCAGTTATATATTAGTGAAAGTAGTGTGAACTCTTACTACACAAAATATGGTTTGAAGTCCCTATGGAAAATAGCATGGCGGTTTCTCTAAAAATTAAACAGGTCAACCATAAAATTCAGCCATTCCATTTCTAGGTATCAACCTGAATTTCTACACCAATTTGGAGGGATAGATGCATTCCTAGGTTCATTGCAGCACTCTTTACAATAGCCAAGTTATGGAAACAGCCTAAGTGCCCAAGGGCATGAGTGAATTAGTAGTAGGTGGCATATATACACAATGGATACTATTCAGATATTAAAAAAAGATAAACTCTTACCATACACAACAATATGGATGTAAGTGGAGGGGGTAATGTTAAGAGAAATAAGTCAGAAGGAAAAAGAAAAATACTGGAATGTGTCACTTAGATGTGGAATATAGAGAAACAAAACAAAAGGTCAGACAAGACCAAACTGATAACAAACCCCAAAAATCCAACTGTTGAATTCAAGCTACTAGAGAGGGAGAGTAAATGGGAGGGGACCCAGTGGATTATGGTGAAGGACTGTGGGTGACTTGGTGGTGAGTGTGGTGTGGTCACACATATCTGAAAGGTGTGATTTTATGCCTCTAAATCATATATAGTATTGTTCCTTCCAAGTTCCTTGCAACTTGGCCATGATATTTAAATGAACAGATAATTTAAATCACACATCATAATAAGGAAACATAGCTATTAAATGGATTGTTAGCTAAGTGGTCAAAGACTATAAATGTTTCTGGTATAAAGAAGCTGTCATTTACCTGATAGATCTACCAGGTGTTGGAGAAAATCTACTTAGATAAAACTGAATAAATAATAGTATTTATAAATATTGATTTATACCCACATCAATGATATATTAAAATAATACAAATAAAGACTAAAATTATATCCAAACTAAAAAGAAACATCCAAAATTAAAAACTAAATCAGGAAATGATATATGTTAAATAATGAGCTTCACTGATGTTTATTTATTCAGAGATACAATACAGGTTTACTTCCTAAGTATAATTATTTGTTCTTAGGTTGTAGGTTATTGGTAAAAATTCAACACGTCATGAGAATGTTATTTTCATCTTGTTGATTTATTGTTTTTGAGGAAGCACAAGAACAGTAGTTCTAATTGTATTTCAAAATGACCTGGCTGTCTTTGTGTTGCTAGAGAACATCCTGAAAAAAAACATAATTAGCAAAAATAGTTTCCACAGACTTCTGGGATGGAGTGCCTTGAGTTTATTTAGCATATTAAAAAAAGAAATTCAATTTCTACAGAGCAGGTAAGAAAATAAAATAACAGTCTGATTTTTTTCATATATCCTTTTAAGGGATATGAGGCTTAGAGTCTACAGTAGTTATAGATATTAGCTGTATCTATAATAGAGCTATATTTATAGTTTTTACTACACTTACAAATATCAGCTTCAACTGTAATTTCACCATAAATATCATCACAATTCAAACCTTTGATTTTAGCAAACAACTTTACTGTTCTGTTAATATATACCATCCATAATATCAGAGGTAATGATAAAACTTTTGGAGTTTTCTTTCATGCTCTATTTTTCCACAAATAATTAGATTGGAATATTTTGTTTTATTCACAATCTACTTCATACCACAGTATCTTCTTTATTTAAATGTGAGCTGAACTCAAATGGAAAAAAAAAAAATCCTCCACCCCTTTGCCCTGCCTCAATACAATACCTGGAATTGAATGTACTTTAGAAGATCAAACTTTTTGGCAAAAATCCTGAAATATTCCAGGAGTTTAGAATTATGTAGGAAGTTTGGAAAATCTTCAGGCATTGGAAAGTCACTGAAACAGGACATTTCTTTGCTGGTATTAGTGATGACAGACTGATAGATACTTGCTCGGCCATCTTCAACATTTTCCTAAAGGACCAAAGACAAGAATGATAATCATGTGTTTAAAAATAAAATCCCATGGTTGTCAAATCTTTTTCCAAATCTAACCCCTGGGTGAGGTGATATGATCCTCTATCATTGCTGTAGTGTGGCTGAAATGTTAGGGTGATAAGGTTTATATACCCCATCACCTTATCTGATAGGGCTTAGTTGGGGTCCTCCAGTGTTGTTCACCAGAGGGACATTGTCATTGGTCACCATGACAGTAGGATAATCCTTTTTTTGCAGGATATTTAGCATCCAACATCGGGATTCAATGTTGGTCATTGACAATGATACCCATTCTGAAGTTCTCTCTGGGGAGGTTATGCCACCTCTACCTCTTTAGGGACTAGTAAACCCCAGAATGCTGGTCAGAGAACAAAATAAAGAATTTCAATTAAAATAAGCACTTCTGGGGGCAGGGAGTTTTCTCATCTTGATTTAAATCTCATACCTTCACTTTATGACTTATGCAAATCAACCTTCCTCATGTGAACAAGGTGAACAACATTAACACCAGTCAAATCTTAAACTTGACTCTGAGCATGTGATGACTGAGTTTATAATTTCTTCTAGTAGTTTATAGACTTTATAATTTCCTCTAATAGCAGCATTCTGTATTATGATACTATCCTCTATGTTAAAGTGTGGTGATTCAAAATTCCTGAGGTCAGCATACCACCAAAGAGGTGTTTATAAGAAAATTTAAATAATGCTATCCAAAAACTCCTCAACAACTGTTTCTGGATGTGCAGAAACTCAGGCATTATCCAGGCAAATAGTAGTTGCTATTATGACTTATTATTAGGGTGGGATGTAAGGAAATGGAGAAGTTGTAGGAACTCAGTCATTTGTTGAAATTTATTGCTTAACCTTACATAAACTGCACTATAATCACTCCAGCAGAATAGTAAGTAAATATTCAACATTAATCCCACCACCACAATAAATCAACAGGGTATGATCCTTTCTTGTCATTAGTCAAATAAAATCATTGCTTTCCTGATAAATATTTAGATCAAGATTCCTTAGATTTTTGGCAACATTGAAAGAGACAACTTTATTAGCAGAATGAATCTGTGTTTGGAGGTAGACATAGGTTTGAACCCATTTCTTTCAAAATGTTGGTCTGGATGGGCCTCTCCAGTGGCACAGCGGTTGAGCACTGGGTTTTGAAGCTGCCCGCAGCTTCTGCAGCGCTGGTTTGATCCCCGGCTGCTGGGTGAGGTTCCCACATGGTGTGCAGACCTCACCTGCCACCTGCTGCTCCCCTCAGCAGTGTACTTTGTCAGTCTGCCTGTTCTGTTCCCTGCTCTGGCTCTGGTGAATTCTCTCAACCTCCCACGCTTCTGACTGTACCCAGTGCTTGTAAAAATAAATAAATAAATAAATCTTAAAAAAAAAATGTTGGTACAAATCCATAATCACCAAAACTGCATGGTATTGGAACAAGAACAGACACACAGACCAATGGAATTGAATAGAAAATCCAGATAAACCCACAGATTTATGGCCAACTAATATTTGACAAAGGAGCAAAGAATTTGCATTGGAGCAAAGAAAGTTTGTTCAATAAATGGTGCTGGGAAAACTGGGTTGCTACATGCAAAAGAATGAAGCTTGACCACTACCTCACACCATGCACAAAAAACAACTCAAAATGGATTAAAGAACTAGACATAAGACCTGAAACCATAAAATACATAGAAGGAAATATAGGCAAAACACTACATAACATGCACCTCACAGACATCTTTACAGACACATCACCCAAAGCAGTGATAGTGAAGGCAAAGATAAACAGCTGGGACTACATCAAATTAAAGAGCTTCTGCACAGCAAAAGAGATGATAACCAAAACAAAGAGAAACCCCACCGACTGGGAGAACATTTTTGCACCCAACACTAATGATAAAAGACTGATCACAAAAATCTGCAAAGAGCTGATGAAATTCAGCAAAAACAAAGAAAATAATCCAGTCAAAAAATGGGCAGAAGAGCTAAAAAGAAACTTCTCTGAAGAAGAAATGCAAATGGCCAACAGGCATATGAAAAAATGTTCAACATCACTTGTAATCAGGGAAATGCAAATCAAAACTACCATGAGATACCATCTCACACCAGTGAGAATGGCACATATTAAAAAAAACTAGCAACAACACATGTTAGCGAGGGTGTGGAGAAAATGGAACTCTCCTGCGCTGTTGGTGGGAGTGCAAACTGGTCCAACCACTATGGAGAGCTGTGTGGAGATTTCTTGACCTACTAAACATAGAGCTTCCATATGATCCAGCAATTCCACTCCTAGGTATTTACTCAAATGACACAGAAACAGTAATTCCAAAGGGCACCTGCACCCCTATGTTTATAGCAGCACTATTTACAATAGCTAAGCTTTGGAAACAACCCAAATGCCCAGAAATAGATGACTGGATCAAGAAGATGTGGTACATATATACACAATGGAATATTACTCAGCAATCAAAAAAGACAAACACATGCAGTTTGCAGCAACATGGATGGAGCTAGAAGGGATCATGCTCAGCGAAATAAGTCAGAAAGAAAAAGAAAAATACCGGATGGTCTCACTCATAGCAGGAATTTAGAAAACCTAAATAAGAGACCAGGAAAAAGACTAATCAATACAAAGTAAAAATCAAAATCAACAAGCAACTATAAACCACAGACACACTACGGGGGTTGTGGGGGAGGGAGGAGTGGGGAAAGGAAGGACTAGAGTGAAAATAAGGTGGGGGAGTGAAATCGTATGGGGAATATAACCCAAATGAAAATGCATACATTGTGCAAAGATGAAAAAAGATGTAAAAAAGAATTATAAAAAAAAATGTTGGTCTGGAGCAGTCAGTGCCCTTGAGTTTCAGTCCCCTCATCAATGACATGGGGATGTTTTAGAGATCAATATTAGTGTCAGTTGTCCATGATTATTGAGGAAGCTTTAGGCTTCAGCAAAACTATCAGTTACAGTCCACTGTTCATTGCAGTGTGAAAAAGACTTCTTGGGTAGCTGCTCTGACTCCAAAATAGCTGATAGGACACACTCATTATCACATGAGTTTTCTGTACAAGAGGCTATATTTGATTTCAAATAATTAAAAGGAGTAAATTTGGAGCTTGTCTCTTTTATTAGCAAAGCCCTTAATATCTGTTGGTCTGTCTGTGTCCTCATTGCAGAGATTATCAATACCATTGTGAGTCATCAAAGCTAAAATGATGTATATTCTCAGATCAAGTTATTTAAGAGCAATATATAGAATCCTTGCTAAATTGGTCTAAGTTGTAAAGATTCTCTTTCTTCAATGCACATTCCTTCTCTTTCTTTTTCATTCACCCACACATCGACTTATCCAGCCCTCCTTTCTTCCCACTCCTCTTTCTTCCACTCATGCCAGGAGTCAAATGCTGTTTTTTCTTTTTTTTTCTTTAAGATTTATTTATTTATTTATGCAAGCACTGGGTACAGTCAGAAGCGTGGGAGGGTGAGAGAATTCACCAGAGCTAGAGCAGGGAACAGAAAAGGCAGACTGATGAAGTACACTGCTGAGGGGAGCAGCGGGCACGGCAGGTGAGGTCTGCACGCCATGTGGGACCCTCGCCTGGCGGTGGGGGATCAAACTGGCGCTGCAGAGGCTGTGGGCAGCTTTGCAGCCCAGCGCTCAACCGCTGCGCCACCAGGGGAGGCCCTCAATGCTGTTTTTAATGAGCTAAATTGCTCATTAAACTGTTGCTCAATTTAACTGTTCTAGTACAGAATCAAGGCTCATACAATAACTTCGCTATAGTTTCAAATGACTTGGTAAAAGCTAGTATGATTGGCATATGCAAGCCAGCTTTCTAATGATGAATTTGAGGTGGTGCTATTGTTAGCTTTATGTAAGTAGAGAATGCGTTGTGTTAGAATATGAAGTGGCTTTTGTCTTATGCAGAAGGATACAATGATCTGAACTCTGATGAATAAACTATGTTATTTTTATTTTTAAATACTAGCTTCAAATTGCATAATGTTAGAGTAAAACTGATATGTAAACTATTTCTGGATGTTTCAGAATGATTGAACACAATGTCCTTGGCAAAACTGAATGTCTGAGTTTCTTATCCAACCAAGTTTTTAAAATGTGAAATATTTCACGAAACAGAGAAATACTGTTTTTTCCCCAAGATGATATAATTTTATGAGTAGTATAGAGTAGAATTAAATATGAAAACTCCAGAGTCAGACTAGGTTGAGATTCTAATTCTACCACCTATACTGACTTTATAACCGTGGACAAATTACATAAGCCAGTTTCTTCATATCTTCTGTAAATTGGGGTTCATTAATAATTCCAGCAGCAAGCAATTGTTATCAAGTTTTTTTAAACTTTTTTAAAGATTTATTTATTTATGCATACAAGAACTGGGGTATAGACCAGAGGTGCAGGGAGTGAAAGGATTCACTAGAAACAGAGTGGGGAGCAGCACAGGTAGATATACAGAAATACGCTGCTGAGGGGAGCAGCAGGCAGATAGGAGAAGTCTGCTGCGCCATGTGGGTCAGCTCCCTGGCTGGGCTGCGGATAGCCCCATAGTGCTGGGACTTAACTCCTTGCACCACCAGGAAGACTATGTTATCAGGTTTTAACAACATTAGATAAAGCATTTAGCACAATGCCTGGCTGTAAATAAATGTCTGCCTCTATTACCACGATTACAATCCACCAGAGTTCATCTTACTAAGCCAGTCATTGTTCTGAATAACTAAACTCAGGTTGATTTATACTATAGCCAACATATTAGTTTTTTTCAAGTGCCGGTAAATTGTCTTTAAAATGTGGTTGACTTCTCTGTCGGGTTAATTTTAAGGAGACTTTTGGGTGAATAGCAAAACTGGTTCTTATGTCTGAGCCTCACAGTAATTTCAGAGCCAATCAAGACTCTCCTTTTAGGGTTTTAGTTACAAATTTTGTCATCATTTGTTGGTAACATCA